AAAATTAACACTGAAAGAGGGGGATTTTGGGACTTCTTCTTTGGTAAGTAGATGGGTATATATGTGGTGAAACTCAATATGCAAAAAAGTCCAGAGGGGTCTTGATTGTGCTATCCTATGGCATAGAGCCTCTTTAAGATTCTCAATAAGAACAGACAGTCGGACATACAGCTCTTTAATTCCCTAAGATTCTTACAGACAGACGGACATATAGCTCTTTAATTCCCTAAGATTCTTATAGACAGACAGTCGGACATACAGCTCTTTAATTCCCTAAGATTCTTATAGACAGACAGTCGGACATACAGCTCTTTAATTCCCTAAGATTCTCAATAAGGACAGACAGAGGGATACAAAGCTCTTTAATTCCTTAAGATTCTCAATAAGGACAGACAGAGGGATACAAAGCTCTTTAATTCCTTAAGATTCTCAGACAGTCGGACATACAGCTCTTTAATTCCCTAAGATTCTTACAGACACACAGACAAGCAGGTGATTACAACAACTCACCCAATTAAGCTAAAAGAAAGGAATTCCACTACTAGTTTTATACTATATAGTAAATACTATAGTAAAAAAATATTTTCAAATTCTGGGGAAATCATATATAGTAAAAGGTGGAAATATTCTTCATGTTTTGAAACCTCAACAGAGTGAAAGTGGATTTTCAATCAGCTGCAACTCATAGATTAATTTCAATCACTTAATGCTCAGCCTTTCTTTTTAAGCAAAACCACCAATTTAGTAAATGTTTTTACTATGAATCACATATTTTCAACCTATTGTTGTTGCTTATGCTACATGATGCAAACCAATGTTGCTGACTGATGTTTTAAGACAGTGAACACAGAGAACTATAAGCGTGTGAAAGGGATGTTAAGGCTGACAAAGGGGCTTTAGAAAAGCTTAAGTGGTCCTGTGAACTAATTGGTATTGTGAATAATCGATACTCATAATGAACAGTTTGAAAAAATTTAGTTAGTCAAAATGAAGCAATGAAACTGGACTTTGTCTAAATCTTACATTTCCTTTTCATGCTCAGAAATTTGAATTTAGAAAAAGTACATCAAAATGAATGTTTATTTCAGGAAATGGTAATGATGTCCAAGTATGGCTCATCGTGATTACACTATGACTAAAAGTAATAGCGCTTTGAGTTCTAATCTATCAATTCTCTCACCCTGCATTGACTCAAGATTATTTAATGATGGCTGGCATGCGAATTGGACATTTCAACCCTTTCACTGTTTTTAGGCATATGTTACAAAAGCCCAACAACAGTAAGGGGAAAGGATGTTATATACAGTGAAAACATCCATAAGAGAGCTATATTTTCTAAAAAACAGCCGCTGATTTTGTTCGACTGACTGCTTTGAAGTGCTTTCAAGTGAAAGGACACTCTGTGTAGTGCCTAAAGAGCTGTAAAATTATTCATTGTTTTATGATGCTTGCTGATTATTGGGGAGTATTCTTGCCTATACAGATACATTGTAATTTGTATGCAACAACTTGTTCGATTGGAATATGCGTCAATCAAACTGCTCTCCGAAGTATTAGCTTGGTCAATTTCATCAGATATCGATGATTGCTTACACCCTCGAACATATGCTTGATTGCTCAGTTTCCATAGTATACACACCACAAGAGTACTCTTTTCAGGATTTTTCATGTTGAGATTTTTTGGCACATTTTATAATTTCAGAATTTTTGTTGGACAGGCATTAATTATTCCAGACAAAGTCTGAGGATTAAGAATTAACTGAAGGTACCCATTCTGATTCATGAGAGTCTCACTTGATCTAATACTTTGGTGAGACACTATTCTAAAGGATGATACTTGCTGTGAATCCCACATTACCTTATTAGAGATTTCAAGGAGAGCCTGGCAATAACCTTTCATGAATCAGCTAAAGTATGCAAATTTTTACAGAAAATGTCTACATTTGTCAAAATTGACCAACCAACCAACCGACTAACCATCTAACCAACCAACAGATTCCAAATGATTTCCTTCAATATTAAATAAAAGAGTTACCTTTATTCAAATTTTTTTTTATCAAATTTAAATGTGAATTTCTGTATTCAAATCAATATCACAGGGATCAAAAATGAATACACAATTCACATTTACTGCATCACCACAGTTTCATAATGGATACAGATGTTGAAAATGTCAAACAACTCTACAGTATAAGTATAGATAAGAAAGTATAGATAGGTAAATAGGGTACTTCCCCCGTTGGTTAAACCACATATACAGGTAGAATTTGTATAAGTCAATGAACAACATCTAAGTTCACTAAGTGGTTCTCATGAATGCAGAGAAGATCAAGAGTGCGATGATAGGTAGACAATTCAAAATGTGAGAGCTCAGCTCCATTCACTCAAAGTTTTCTATTTTTGCAGAGACCAAACAGAATTTGCATATTCTTGAACTTCGATAGCTTTTGCGGAATTTCCTGAGTAATTGAGAATGTTTTTGTCAAAATTGTCTCATTTTCCACTTACAATGCAGAGAAATCATTCAAAATTGGCTTTTTTTCATTTTTTTTTTCATCAAGAGATTTTATTGCCATTAATCATTAAAAGTACATATCATACATGAGGGACCCAATCGCCAGTGGCATTATAGGTGTCCCTCAATGTAGTAATTACAATTTGTAAACATGGTTTTAATACACAATTATATATTAGAAAAAAAAATAGAAAAGAAAGCATCTGCATTTTAATTGGAGTGTGAGGGGGCTGCTGCTTTTTTTCATTTATAGAATTCATTATTATTTCAACTCGTAGAAAATTGAAGAGTGCACACTTGACAATTAACATCTTATATGAAGTACAGTAAGACCTGTCTAAGTGGAACACCTTTGTCATCTCTAAAAAGTGTTCCACTTGGAAGGTGTTCTACTTATAGAGGTTAATTAACATTAAGCCAGTTTAACTTGGGACTCTGAAAGTGTTCAACTAATATAGGTGTTCGACTTCTAGAGGTGTTCCACTTAACAGGTTTCATTGTATTTCCAAATGTGAGAACTTTTAGCCATCCATATCATCCACTTTAGACTAAGTAATAAAATACTGCATAACACTGACGGAATAAATAAATAAATTACAACGAATAAAAAAACAATAATCTTGAGAGAAAATAAAATAAAAATGTACCCCACAGCTGGCAAATGAATAGGATATATCTAATTTAATAACAAATAAATATATGTATTTTTACTTAATTCTCTGTTAATTTGATTTTCCTAATATCATAGCATTACCAAGTTTATTGAATTACATGTCTGGGCATGCTTCTATTATAACAGAGTGGCATTACAATTACTTGTTAATTATATTGATTCTAGTGAAGACCACTTGTGACTCAATATAACATAGAACTATTTAGAGAACATAGATCAATAGACTACATTGAATTGATCTCTAGCAGGCATTACTATGTCGGACAGCACGTTATGAGCTCGAGCATGTTCTAAATCTACGATAAGGATGCTACTCCTACTACCAGTTTTCCATAAGAGTGCAAACAGAATAATTGTCAGCAAAATTACAAAATCTTGAAAACAGACTTATTTCACGTAAAATTGACATATTTTTGGAATTACCAAAAAGAGTGATGAATTATCTAATACTTTGGTAATTCAATTTTTAAAAAAATTATGCATTTCTGGTATAGTTCTATCCAAAAATTTATTTGTTATTGAAATTCACCATTAGAAAAGAGTGAAGCGGATCTACTATATATGAGATGTGTCTTCAGTCAGAGATAACGATTAAAAAACATCATTAAGCAATTTCACTTAAACATCCATTGAAAATGGCAATTGAACAAATTAAACCTGAGGAACAAAATATAAAATGTTTTATATGTTATAATGCTACTGGGTTGTTTCTGTATAAAGTATATAGGTCATAAATCTAATTCACGGATAAAGCTGAAAAATAAAAAAAGATGGACCAATGATGGATATTAAGGTCAGGGTGCATGATGGTAAATTTTTTGCATTCCTCAATTGAGTCACATGTTATTTTTCAAACAAGAATCACTCCTTCCCCACATTGTCTATATCTTCCAGGTTTGCACAAAGAATGCACTTATGTGCCTAGAAAAGACTGTTTATTGTGGTAAGCTTGGAAGTGCTCAGAAGCAAATAATTCATGTGCGCAAAATAATAAAATAATCTGATTGGTTTAAACTTTGCTGCACAATGTGTGCCATGTTTTTTCTAGTGATTTCGTTTCGTTTCATGGAGTTTGCATTTCAGTGTAACTTCCGCAAAAATGGCGGACCATGGACAGAATTAACAGGTAAAATCACTTCGAAACTTCAAGAGAGCTTTTTACCTATAATAGCAAAACTTTTGTTTTATTTGTGCATTCTATCTATCGGATAAGAGTCTCAGGGGTATGTAGGCAAATTCATTTTGGTAGGAGCACTCTGTTTAGTTTGAAAACGCACCCATTATACATGTATATCAGCACTATAGATCTCGATCCATGCAAGAAAAAAAACATCGGTTCTACCTCGATCGGAAATTAGAGCAAATAAACAACAAGGTGTTGAAGTTACCCAACATGACGAAGTTACCCCAAAATGGTGTCGACGTTACACCCCTTCGCCATAGAAAAAAGTGTTGTCACCTCCCTGTCATCTTATTCTCTTTTGCCCATCATCCGCCAAGTTCATTCACCAAAAAAATCACAACATGTTTTACTGGCTGATATTTTGTGTTGACAAATCTAGTTGACTGCCCAATTTTTATCACCCTCCTTTACCTAGTATGTATCCAACAGACTGACTAGAATATAATTCAGACTAAATAGGATATAGTCTACTCCTTTACCCAAAATAGATTTTGAACCTTTCCTTTCCTTGAAAATAAAGTTTGAAACTCGATGCTTGTTTGTGGCGATTCTAATGTATAAATCCACAGTGCAAACTACAACTAATAGACAAAATATGTACGTTATGTATAATAAAGAAGCTCCCTTACCCTACATTTATTCTGTACTTGGCTCGAAGAGGGAGTATTTCGGCAAAATACCACACCTTGAAAACGGATCCAACTTTTCGTTGCCATATTGGGTCACTGCGAGATCTCGTTAAAGGTTACCACGAGATTTCGACGATGCGAGAAGTCAGCCATTGCAGAAAATAATAAACAGATGATAACTTTTGCACAGCGCAAATAACATCGTTTATTTGATAGTTACAATTATTTTTCTGTAATAATTGACCAATATGTCAGAAGTAAGACAACGACAAACGGACGGAACATCTGAAATACAAAATCAGGTGAGGTTTTATTGTAGAAAACATATGTTGATTTATGTGGATTTTCCAATTTTTCATTTTCTTTAGCAGTGTCAGATAATTTTCTCAAATTTCTTAGCCTTAGAAATGGGCTAGTCAAATAAAGGGTTATAGTTAAAGCTAGCTCACGAGTTGAAATAGATTTCGAGTTTCTAGAGGACAACTCGAGGCAATGTATAGGCAGCTCTGACGAGTTCTCGAGTTACGGACTCGGGAGTTACACCTGTAGTACCATCCCTGCTACTTTGCTGTGTTAAATATAAAAGCGACAATAATTTAGGGAATATATCTGCAAAATCTGCAGAAAAAACAAAAGCTCCATAGAGAATTTTCGCTTGAAATGTTGAAAAGCAAGCCCAGTTTTTTAGTTAAGTGGACAATATTACCGAGTTCGATGGTGCAATGAAGTTAGGCTGTGAATCATTTTGTAAGTGCGACAATGTGAATTCATGCGACTGTTACTTTGTGAAAGTTTTTTTGCAAAAAAAGTCGAGTAACTTTTTAAATAGGTATCCAGTTTAGTTGTCTAATTTGATAACTATGGCCAAGGAATATCACTGTGATAAGATATATAGGATAGGATATATGCGTGTCTGTTATCAAGTTAACAGTTGATAAATATGAGGAACAAGAAAAAAAATTCGGATCAAAAAGTAGTGAAATATGTGTGTGATAATATCATTATGAACATAAAATTGTCTTCTTTTAGAATGAGCCTACCAAAGAAACTGGTGATAACCCAGAAAGCACAAAGGATGAAGAGGGCATCACAGACCCTGATAACATGATAGATCTGAATGCAGCTTCAAGTCTGCCACAGGACACAGGAAAAACAACCGACGTTCTTGACTCAGCACTAAAAGATCTGACCCCCAGGTATCATTTTTTAGCTCACATCGATAAGCTTTTGTAATGCTCTACTTGTTTGTCCGTCTGTCTGTTTTATATACTTTTTACTTTTAAGTTATCTGTGTCAGTCATCTGCAAAGGGCTAATAAGCCCGTTTGAAGCAGATATACGATTTAAGATTGAAAGAATTTATATTATATTATTATTTTTATTACATTAGATTAACAAAGATTTATAGAATGCATGAATTCTCACTCTGAGATTAAAGGAATAACATATATAAAAGAGATGACACATACATACATTAATATTTCAAGATTTATTTGCACAAACTGGAGCAAATATGCTGAACCATTTATAATATTATAATCCCTATATTTGTAAATATGACAAGTATTCACCTCAATAAAGCAAAATACTTGATAATATCAAAATAAACTCATAACAGATTCAGATTAATACAAGTTATGGATAATGTGTCCAATGATTGACATTCATGGAAAAATGAAGTTAATTTCCTTACGGTTTAACCCCCCCCCCTCCACTCATCTAACAAAATTTTAAAATGTTGATTTGTCTTTTACTTGAATATTAAAAATCAGCACTATTTGCAAGAACCATCGTTTATCCCCTCCCCCTAATGAAACTAACCATTGATTATTAGACACCACCCTTTGTTCTACGGAGTCCTATGCAAAGCAATAATGCCGCGAGCTGATATATTGTTTCTTTTTCAGATGGAGAAATTGGATAATCCGAGGGATATTTTCATGGGTGATGATTCTCGGCTTTGGCTTTATAATTTATATGGGGCCCTTAGCATTAGTACTCTTGGTAAGTTAAATTATGATAGAACACTTATACACTAAAACTGTTTAATCTGAACACCTCTGGGACCAGCCAAAAGTGTTCATAGGTGTTCACATTTCAAGGTGTTCTAAGTATGTGAGTCGTTTGGGAAATTTTATATGCATGTTGCAGATTATTAAGCTCTTGTCATAATTAACTTTTGATTTTGTCAATTCAGTTACATAAACATCGACTCATATTTATCTGTGTTGTTGGTTGAGCCAAAGTCCAAAGTAAGCAGTTCATAGTTTGCTTTGAATAGTTGTACTCGTAAATGTTTCATTTTCTTCATCTGGTTTTAACATTGGTACTTCTCAGGCCCGTAGCCAGGGTTCGGGCGAACCCCCCCCCCCCCCCCCCCTGGCCAAAAATTCTTTCAAAATCATGCAGTTTTTCACCATTTTGAGCACTTCTCAAGTAATTTTAGACATATTTGGGCCAAAATTGTCAAATGTGAACCCCCTGGGAAGTTTAGAAAACTGAACCCCCCTTGGCAAATCCTGGCTATGGGCCTGCCATTGGCACTCGTGTATGCTTGTCTGCATGGTAATACCAACCCAAGCCATACTCATCTGACAATGTTTGGTGTCAAAGTTCATGGCATTGTGAAGTTTTACCATATTATAAACAAATTGACCTATAAATCACTTTGTACTCATTTAAGTTCCAAAAACAAAGTCCATCAGGTGTTTTATGATTATTCATACATGTGTATATTAAATGTGATGATGTCAATATATGTAAAAGCCTGAAAGGCCAGGGGTTTCATTAGCAGCAGGCAATAGGCGATTTTCACTTGTCGTTTTAACAAAATCGCCTGTTGTTTTTCCGTATTAAATTCATGACTTCCATTAATTTTGCCTATTGTTTTCATTTTTATTTAATTTTTTATATGATAATCAGTTTATTTCATGACATTTAAATTTACATGGAATGGCTTGCCAATCGCCTAAAGGCATTATAGGCCAAGCTTAAATTGTTTTCATTTATTTTGCCTGTTGTGAGAAATTCTAGTGAAATCCTTGAAGGCTTTACTGACTTCCAGTTAGATACTATGACCTCTTGGTATTAAATTTGAATTTTTGAAAATTGTCAAACATTGACATGGTCCAACATGCAAGTTAGAATTGTCAAACTCTAGGAGGGATATACTTACCATGGTGTGTGCTTTATGGTTTCATTTCAAAGTTTATCTTTGCTTGGTGTTGACCTTATCTTGGAGTTTCAGACTGTTCTGTATGTACAGTGAAACTGTCACATTTGAAAACCATTTATTCAAAAGAAACGAGTTCACTTGTTGTAGTTTTTTGAACCTCAATTATTTTGGACGTTATTATTTTTATAAAATAGTCTTATGTACTAAATGAGCCTTAAATTGTATAAAAATAGGCCCAAATTTTTACCAAAGGCTCACAATTTGAATCATCTTCCTTGTGAATTTCTATATTATCCCTGATTTTTGAAGGAAAAAGTAGTTAAAATAGTGACATGTTTCTAATATAAACAAAAATAAAACAAAATACTTCAAATATACATTTTTGAAGGTAGTGTTGGATATAAAGAGTGCTCCCTAAGCCAGGTTTACTGTAGGTGAACAAGTTCTAAACTTCAGTTTCGTTAATATTTAAATGTCTATCTATCAGAACACAACTTGACCAAAATTGTTATCTGGGAGCATATGTGAAATACGAAGTCATAAGTTTATTGAAATATTCCAAATTTTAGATATTTGTATTGCTCTCCTCAGGATTTTGGGTGGAGGATTTTGTTATTTTTTAAAATTTAGAAACTTGTTTATTACTTGTACTTGTTTTTCACAACTTTGCATAACATTCTAGGCTTTTCTAATTTTTTTGTGCAATAGTAAGATTTCACCATTTTTATTTAATATTTTCGGAGGCACATGTAATTGAATTGTCAGGAGTATTTTGGCATTATGGAAAACACTGAGGTGGTGAGCTTTAGTGATACAATATACCCTGCTCACTCCTCAGATATGATATATACCCTAAACCCACTCAAGTATGAGATACGAAGTCATAAGTTTATTAAAATATTCCAGTTTTTAGATATTTGTATAGTCAGGTATAACGCAGCTCTCCTCAGGATTTTGGGTGGAGGATTTTGTTATTTTTTTAGTGCGACTGCAACAACTTTTTAGGGGGCTTTTTAGAATTTTGAAACTTGTTATGCAGTAAATGTACTTTACAGTTTTGCGCAACATTCTCTCGCTCACCAGGTAGTGACATTTTATCACATTAAATGCCCTGCTATGACATATAATTTGGTTTATCCGATGGATACAAGATAAATATGGGGATAATGACACCAGATAATTTTGGTATGCGCCACTAAAATCATATCTGATCCTTATGACGTGATATCCAATCTTAACCGATGGATACTACTTAAAAAATATTTTGAAAAAAGGTTAAGATCAGGGTGCATCTTTGGAAATTTGCTGCAACCCTCAATAGGGTCACATGTTATTTTTCAAATTTTAATCACTCCTTCCCCATAATGTCTACATCTCTCAGTTTTGCATAACAAGTGCACTAATGTACCTAGAAAAGAATGTATACTTTTGATAAAATGTATAAAAACAAGAAAATTCAGTGAAAAAATTCAGAATTTTTTTTCACTGAATTTTCTCTTTTTTATATATTTTACAAAACAAATCTTCTCACCAGTCTTTTCTAGGCATATAAGTCATATAAATCATTTTGTAAAAATAAGTTCACAAAAATGAAATGAAAAAATTAAGAAATCAACTTTTAGGTCTATTTATTTTAATTCCATACAAAAATAGTAACCATAGGATAAATATGATATTCTATGATTTTTCTCGGCTATCATTTTTATCCACTCTTGGATATCGCCAATCTCGAGATGGGCGGCATCCACTCATGGATAAAAATGGTGGCACCAAAATGGTATCCCTCAAAAATCATAGGATATCCTCTATTTATCTGGAGACCATATTAGGGATATTTGTTTTTTCCCTGATCCATTATTATTACTATATGTTATAAACTCCATATTCAGTTCTAGATTTAACCTATTAGAATCCAATAAACATTTCTAATGTTAATGAAAGTCAATTTACACCGAGGATTTATGAAAATGCCAGATACCTTTACCTTATTTATTGATCACCCTGTACATATGGTGCCAGCTGACGTAAAAGTTGTTTGGGAAGATCAAATAATATTCACCTTGTATCGATTTGTGACATTAAAAATACAATATACTCGTTCATTAGGCTGATTTTCAAAATAGTTTGGACTTGAAATATATTTGTCTTTTATAACTGAATGATATTATGAATGCAGAGCTCATATTTTGACATTGAGACTCTGTTCATCTCTGTTCATTTCATTTCCCAGATTCAGGCATCATGATAAACCATGACATCTCATTTCTTCTCAGCCCTGAGATGTTTCAGGTGAAACAGAAAGATGCTATGAGTATCAGAATGGATTCAGGCGAGACTTCTCTACTTGCTGCATTAGGTAATCCATGGTGTTTGACAAAATGGTCTACAACTTGATACGCATGCTTTTTGTCTTTGAATCGGGGCTTATCAGTGCAGAAACAAGAGCTCAGAGCTCCTTTGAAGAGGGGTTTCTAGGCCAGTCTTGACATTTTGCATAGTAGTAGCCAGTGGTCTAATGTAGCCCGTAACTGCGCTATGTAACTGTTTTGTAAAGTTTCCAATAAATTATTCAGACATGCGTATTGGATTATTGGCAATTTATAGGATGGGGTGTTTATACAGGTAGACTCGTTCTAATACACAACCCCATCATATCCAGGCCTGTAGCCAGGATTTGCCAAGGGGGGGGGTTCAGTTTTCAAGAAATTTCCAGGGGGAAGCTCACATTTGACAATTTTGGCCCAAATATGTCTAAAAATCACTTGAGAAGTGCTCAAAATGGTGAAAAACTGCATGATTTTGAAAGAATTTTTGGTCAGGGGGGGTGGTTCGCAGAGTTCGGGCAATATTGCACATAATCAGCAATTCAATTGTAAGTTAAATAAGTTAATTTTGGGGGCTGTATGTCAGGCTGATTTTCATTTTACGATGATGACAACCGAACTAAAATGAGTCAACAATTTTATGCCACCTTGAAACTGTGTGTGTTAACATAAGAGTGGTGAATATTCTTTTCAGAATAAATATCATAAAAAGCATTTGTGTACTTATCTCCAGCTACCTCCTGCGACAGTACATGTATATTATATCAAGAAAATATGTATATTGGATTAATATAATGACTAATACAGCAATTTTTGGATGGGTCTTCAGTATTTACTTAATATTAAATCAACAAGGCAAAGTCAATGTGTCTATAAGATATGAGATAAAGCAAACATATATGTACATATCTATGTGTAATATGGATCAGAATATGACTGATTGGTCAAGTACCGAATTGTCAATACTCTCAATATATGTCATTATATTATAAATATTATACATGAGGTCCTCAGTTTGTATGGCCAAACCGTGGAATAAGGGCAGGTTCGACAAAATACATATATTGGCATTATACAGTGATCTCCCGATCATTAAAGCAAGTGGGCTCCGCACCCACCTGAGATTTAAAAAGCAGAATTTCACCCACCTGAAAATTCATTTGCTCCCATTTCAAAATGAGGAAAATCATGAAAAAAAGTCATGTTTTGACCAAAAGATAGGTATCGATATGGCGAACCATTTGAACACACGTTTTTCTTAAACCAGTCATCAAAAAAATCTGAAAATTTTACATATTGTCAATTTAATGGTCATCTTTTGAATGATAACAATATAATTGGAAAAATGTATATACAATTTCATCTATATTGTTTTAGAAAACACATCAAACACTTGTTTTGTTCTTGATATCATGTTTCCAGAGTAAAATGAAACATCTTTCCGAACCTCATTGGAACAAAATGACATAAACACAACATGCTTAGGTCTCTCAATATTGTAATTGTACAAAGGAAATTTTGGTTGATTTTAAAAAGTATCTTGTTAATGAAATAAAAGGTTTAACTTGATTTTTATCTATTTTGGGGGATTTTGTTTTTATTTTTTGAATGCTTTTTTAAAATCAACCAAAAATTCCTTTGTATAACTATAATATTGAGAGGTCTAAAAACATGTTGTATATGCTATTTTGTTCCTATTTTGTTGGGAAAGACATTTTATTTCATTCTCAAGTTGGTAGAAAGGAGCAAAAACAATTGCACTAGAAAAACAAAAAATGTTAACAAAAACAGTTATATAAAATATTTCTAAATAATTTTCGCATTAAATTGTTGTCAATCAGTCAACATTACATAAAATACCATGTTTTTTTACAGAATGTTTTCAATGATTGGTTTAAGATGAAAATATTTTTGTTCTCCATATCGATACCACTCCTTTGGTCTGAATTGCAGTGTTCGCGCTAGCCATTTAAATTTCTGAGTCCCAGGGACGCAACACATTTGAAAAATGTGAGTCCCGTCTAATTTTTTTTGCGTCCCTCATATTTTGTTATAAAGTGAAAGTAAAGTGGGCGATAATAGAGTGCTTCCGCTAAAACGGGATAAAAATGACATATATTGTAATTCTATGCATTCTCCCGATAAATATCTATCATTTGGTCCTTTTCACACAATTCTTTACTAATGTTATATCAAAATTCTCCGAAATGAATGAAAGAAATATTCAAATTAAGAGTTGTTTTCACATTTTACCAACCAGCGATCTTCAAGGTCGTGAACTTTTTGTTTCTTCTAACATTTCTCCTTACTCTGACGACTTTTAGATGAAAAACGAGCTATCATTAAATAATTATATTGATGTATAACATTAGATCGATATCTAACGGTTCCTAGTGGAAGTAATTAAGATTATCATGAAAAACAAATCCCAATTCTCAATTTTGAAACTAATGTTTGCGTACAACAGATTATCCAGCTTCGGTATACTCCGGAATGACTCGGAGGGCACCATAGCCAATCAAATGCTGCGTTTCAGACTAGAAACCCCGCGAATATACTGAGACACTTCGGTAGCCAATCAGATTTGCTGACATAAACATTATCGAGATCAAGGAAGTAGACGATTTGAAAATTCTTCGGACAATCATGTTTTATCACTTCTACGCTGCAGTAAAAGTTACCTGATGGTGGTGTAGAATCTTTGCGTCCCAGGGACGTAAGTTGTTTCTGATTTTTCCGTCCGACCTCTTGAAATTTCCGTAAAAACTAGAAAAAACGGCGTCAACGCGAACACTGGAATTGTGAAGATGAGAATTTTGCACCCACTTAAAGGGTGACGCATATCGTTTAGCAAATCAAACGCTCGTTTCTTGTGTTGCTCACCGTTAAGTATAAAAGGCCTGATCCCGGAATAATACTCAAGGGTTCACAGGTTCGAGGTCGTTGTGTCAACACCTCTAACTGTTATATAGCATAAGTATATTATAGATCGACACATTTATAAAAGGGTGATTTTTATTTTGACAAATCAATTCCACATTTATGGGTGAAGTTTCAGGATCTTCTATTTGTGTACAATAAGGAAAAATTGGCATCTAAATTTCCCCATAACGTAATAGCACACAGCTTGGCATATGAAATATCCTACAAATGAAACAAAGCAAGACAAACCGGTTTCTAATACAAGGATTTATATTGGCTGTTGTACATGTATTCTTTGAACGCAATCACTCTTTGGATAACATTTTCAAAATCATTATAAACGGATTACTTTATCTCAAAGACAATTTCAATAAACTGGATTTTACAGAACTCCCCTTATTTCTTAAAAATGGACTGATCCAGTTGATTCGCCTGGAGCCGCCATATTGTATTTATACGGGATGCTAATCGGAACCCTTTAAGAAAAAATCCAGTGGAGAATATTTTATATAACATAAATGTATTAAATATATTATGTAAGCACATATATTATTAGGGACAGACTCACCTTGATTTTACTAGTCCAGGCATAACCTAAAATGAAGCGAGGGTAATTTTTAATTTAGTGATTCATTCAGAGGTTGCTAAATTTGAAATAAGAAAGCAAAATGTGGAAAAGAAAGAAATTTTTTAAACCAAAAAGTGCATCAATCAAAGGAGCAAGCCACAAAAGTTCCTAAACATGAAAAATGTACAACAATGTGTGGGATATAAATATTTATCGAAATAAATTAATATTCAAATAAACTGTTCATTTTAGATACTGATGCTGCAAATCAAATGTTTCCACGAGATCATCACAATCGGCTACCAAGTCTACAAATCACATGACCTTCCGTGGTTCCGTACCCTAAGTTGGTATTTCCTGGTCACGTCAAATTACTTTTTCTTCGGAGAAAGTATGATTGACTATTTTGGAGTGCTGTTGTCAAGACCGGTAGGTATTTTAATTACTGCACATTTATTATGAATCCTACATTTTGATTGGTTAATAATTAATTGATATTTTGGAATATCATACTTCTGTAAACATTTAAGTCGATATCATCCTTATAACTTAAAATAACCATTCAAAGAATACAGTTCATTGCGTTCATTGCAAAATTAGGTATAAGCAAATTTTTCATTCTATGATTTTTGCAGCATGTATTGATTGCAATATTCTATTGTATCATTGATAGGTATTCTCTTTGATCAGAATTCATGAATTGGAAATATGCAGAGAAAGGGTCTTTTTCACATTTTGTTCAATAACCAATCAGAAATCTAGCAGTGATATAATAATGCACTATACAGTGAAACCTGTAAAGTGGAATACCTCCAGAAGTGAAACACCTCCTCAGGTGGAACACCTTTTGAAGTGGATTTCCTCTTGAAGTGGAACCTCTTTTTGTGGAACACTTTTCAGAGTCCCAAAACCAACTGACTTAATGTTAAATGAACCTCTATAAGTGGAACACCTCCCAAGTGGAACACTTTAGAGATGCCAAAGGTGTTGCACTTTGACAAGTTTCACTGTACTTATATTATGGATTAATCCTCACCTAAGGCTGAATTCTTTTGTGCATTTTTTATAGGAATTCGGATAAAACTAAAATTATAAATCATGATAATATAGAACTGTTGATTTTGTTTCATGGAAAATGGATAGGGAATAAATATATTTTCTATATTCGTGACTTCTACTAAAATAAACTCTTTGTATTGATCCAGCATTAGCATGGCCGTAAATCATTTAATGTCATTTAAACAGAAACAAGTCCAAACAATGTCTCTAACATCTATTTCTGTATGATGTTATCAAGAAATCACTGCTATTTACTATTACATTAATATCAGCATATTCATTGGATAAGTATAGGATATCCTATGATTTTGAGAGATATCATTTTTATCCACGAGTTGATATTAATATCTGGACGAGTGAACAGATTTGACCTCAACTATGGGATAAATCTTCATATATTCTCATGAATTCAATGAGATAAGACCCAATCAATGATTGCAGAGATAAGACTTATCATTATCAAAGGCCAATCTGATTTATCTGTATAAGATTCATTGAAGCGTAATCTGTAAAATAATTTGATCTAATATAAACCATCCTTGCAAAGATTGCCACAAAATGAAAGAATCTTTGACATGAAAAATATCATCCTTTAATCAAATTCTAAGATGTTTAAGTTATTGAAAACCTAATCTGATATTTCTAGATCGATCAATATGTCTTTATTAGAATCATTCAATATTGAAAAGGCACTTTGCCCCGAGGCCCTATTACCCTGAATTCTTATGAGCTAGCAATACTGTACTCTTACTAAATCAGAAGGTTTTGCTGTTTTAACTGAAACAATATTGAAAAGGCACTTTGCCCCTATTACCCTGAATTCTTATGAGCTAGCAATACTGTACTCTTACTAATTCAGAAGATTTAACAGTTTTAACTGAAACAATATTGAAAAGGCACTTTGCCTCTATTACCCTGAATTCTTATGAGCTAGCAATACTATACTCTTACTAGATCAGAAGATTTTACAGTTTTAACTGAAAAGGCACTTTGCCTCTATTACCCCGAATTCTTATGAGCTAGCAATACTGTACTCTTACTAAATCAGAAGATTTTACAGTTTTAACTGAAACAATATTGAAATGGCACTTTGCCTCTATTACCCTGAATACTTATGAGCGAGCAATACTGTACTCTTACTAAATGAGAAGATTTTACAGTTTTAACTGAAACAATCTTAATAATCTCAATTTTAGCCTTTGGGGGAGTTTGAGCGTGAACTAAATGTTAGTTACATATGAAGAATGTGCATTGGCTTTATTTAGTACAATACATATTTTAATTGAACTCGAGGAGCAGATATTGATAAAGGAATACTGTACTTCTTCTTAAATTGGCGCTACTTGTTTTGGCGGATTTGCTGTTTTGAACATTTGGCAGCTACTTAATTTGGCGGACTTGCAATATTACAATGTACAAATGGTACTAATTTGCATGGTACTAAAATTACCAGGGAATTTGGTGGCTACTTAATTTGGCGGATTTTAACAATTTGGCGAATTCGCCAAAATAAAGTGGCTATCAAATTAAGTCGAAGTACAGTGTATTAAACCAAAGTGTGTCTATTAATAGTAAATGTCTGAACCAAAACAAAATCCAGATTCTTTGGAGTTCAGTATGGGAAGTATGATTTCACTCATAGGAATTTTATCCAGGCATGGATGATATGTTATGTAGATTGAGATATTTATAAAACTTCAACCAGTCTTTGATTCCTGCTTTTTATAACATGGAGCAACATTCTGAGTTTGAGTTTATCGTTAAAGCCTCCTTTGCCATTCCTAAATTTTACCATGTCTTAAAGGGTCTCATTTCACTCTATTCTCCATGTACTTCCCCTTTGTCCTTTGTCATCTTTTTAGATTCATCTTGAAAAGTGTTTGCATAAATAAAACATGTTGGAGTTTGAAAGGCTAAAAAAGAAGTCTTACTGCTTCAGCCGTGTCTCAAAAATACTGGATCAGGGCAGTGCTTGTAATTGTATACCACTTCAACAAACTGTGATATCCCCAGTAATAGAGCAACAAGCCTCTGCACCCTGCGGAAATTCTGTTTGCACCAGCCAAATATCTGTTAACATCCTGCTGAAAATGTTTGCATCCTGCCAAAAATCTATTTGTACCCAGCCAAAATTCTGTTAGCACTCTGACAAAAATCTGTTTGCCCCCTGCCTCAAATAACGAAATATTGCGATATTTTGACTAAAACAGGTGAAATTAGGATGTAACTGTTGTGAAAAAATCTGGGAAGATCACTGATAATACTATTGGTATTAAACTTGTTTATATCTCCATACATCTTCATTATGCTTCAAGAGATAAAAATATCAGCTACTTCATCATACTGTATGTTCTCACCTTAAGAAATACTATTCGATCAATAACTGGTGATTACACATGTTCCCACTTTTAGCATTGTAATCAAGAAAATCCGATATGTGCAGATAGTAGTAATCAATTGTAATAATAGATAGCTTTTTTCATGTTGCATATTTCTAAGTGTACAAGACAAGACAGCTGAAAATTAGACTCGATTTTGTCAAGATGTAGTCTTGCATATAGCCCCATGTATTATGCAAATTCATTTTCTCTTAAACTCAAGATTGCAATTAAGATTTTAGAAGGAAAGGGATGAGGGGGTACATTGTGAGATTCACACTCTTCTATTACCTTTAGAATACAAATCTTTCTCAAGAATTAGATTGATAAGTGAATCTGATAAATTGGGGAAGTTAGACAGAGAGAAAGAGTAGAACAAGAAATAGTGTAAATAATATATGCTGAATATTTTATGGTTTTTAGGGGATTGCTTTTTTCTACCGTATACATATACATGTATGTTCATGCTACTTTCCCTGGAAGTAATTATTCTTTTTCTTAATCATTTCGTGACGTTCCAATTTCCTTTTTGTAGGAAATTCCATGGTTACTCCAGGTACAAGTTTACTCTTATTTATCTCGTCGTTTAGTAACTATGGTGATATAGCATGGACAGATACCTGTATTCTTATTAGTTATTTGTTGTATTTTATTATTTATTTGTCAGAGTATTCTTTCTGGGTAACTATTGTTTTTATTTATTGATTTTTATGGTGCAGACTTCTACCTCTATAGTTAGATACCACTAAATATGCATTCAATCCTTACCCCAACATAGATTGTGGTATATTACCTGAAATTTAGTTGATGATTTAATTTAAAGGAATGTTTTTATCCACTAAATTAGATGCCTCTTTGTCCGTTTTGTCGGATAACTGTAGATTTGAATGATTTTTCACATAAAAGGTCAGAACTGTTTGGCATTTGGTGGTCGGTGTGGCGTTCGGCATCTGTAACAAACTGCAGGTGACGACATTTTGCATGTTAATGCCTTGTTTTCCTTTCTACTTTCTTTGAGCGAGAGTTTGAAAAAATGAGGTGATCACATTTAGATTATAGTCTACTGAGGCATGGTTAGTTCCCATAGAGACCATTCGCAAGAGTGGTCTTGAATATTTTTTCATCCAATATATTTTGTAGTATTTAGGTTTGCATGTTGGTATAGCAAGGAGTCAGTGATTGATGAATTCTACTTTGGACTTAACATAGGCACAGGTATTAATCAGACTTCAAGATATTGTGAGCTTGCTCGATGGTATCATGTCTTTAGCATGGTGCTATATGTATTATCGAGCATGGCAGTATGTTCAGCTCAACATGGACCCTCAAATGCTCGCATTATGTTGAGGTCTGTTTAGAACCTGTGATTATGATTTCAGAATGTATGAGAAATACCACATGTATCTTGGTGAAAACAAATTGACTGACCCATAATTGAATGTTGCCCATGATGCATTTGATTTCATATTATGTTTGATATTTTTATTTCACTTTTAAAGTTATGGGTTCAAGGAATTTCTATTTGAGAACCTGGTATTGAGATTCATATTTTAATATAAATTGTGCTTTATTTAGGATATGTACATTGATGAATTTATACAGGTATTATAATATGGAAATTACTGTTTTAAGATTATTTTCTTTTCAATTGTTTTTCAATTATTGTTTGTGTTTATTCAAGTTGTTTTTTGTTATTATTTATTGTTTACTGTATATGATTTTATTGATCATCTATCCATAGATGATTATTATGGTCTACCTGTTAAATTAGTCTAAATCCTGTCTGAATAAGTTATATTAACGGTCATTTAGATAAGGCTTGTCATGATAAACATGTTTTTCTGTATCTTAGTAGGTTAAATGTAAACTCCATACTGAAAAAAGATGATATACTGGAAAATGTATTCTCATATTTCGATATTTGTTCTTTGAGCGAGTAATAATTTGAACCTGAATGATCTTAATGGCCTTAATGAATGAAATGAATTTAGTGATCTGTCTGAGGCAGAACCCTTAGGGGATAGGGGGGGGGGGGTAGTGGGGTTGTTGACACATCATCTAGCAAGTCCTGTGTGTTACTCTACTGTCCTGTTACTTAGGTTACATGTCGTTTTAGTAAAAATGCAATAACACTGAATGATTGTTCTTTTCAGCACTTAGTAGGTTAAATGTAAACTCCATACTGAAAAAAGATGATATACTGGAAAATGTATTCTCATATTTCGATATTTGTTCTTTGAGCGAGTAATAATTTGAACCTGAATGATCTTAATGGCCTTAATGAATGAAATGAATTTAGTGATCTGTCTGAGGCAGAACCCTTAGGGGATAGGGGGGGGGGGGTAGTGGGGTTGTTGACACATCATCTAGCAAGTCCTGTGTGTTACTCTACTGTCCTGTTACTTAGGTTACATGTCGTTTTAGTAAAAATGCAATAACACTGAATGATTGTTCTTTTCAGCACTTCATGCAGCCATTTGTGACGTACCATAGGTTCATCTCATTCTCGTTGTATGTCGCAGGTTTTGTGGGCTTCGTGTTCAGTCTAGTCAAGAAACATTACCTTCAGCAGTTCACATTGGTAAGTTTAATGTCATGGAAACACTTGCAAAATCACCTTTTAAGATATCATATTACTCTCTCTCCAAGACTCTGTGAACCCCCCCCCCCTCTACTAGATTAAACACTTTCTTGTGGCGAGGTGTTTGGGGGGGGGTCAAAAGGGCTCGTAGCTAGACTAGTATCGAATGTACGCTGTAACCTACACCTACACTACACTACCTTTAAATACGGGTTTAACTGTAATATTATGAATAAATAAACCAAAATAACTGTTTCCTAATTTCTTGAATGTTCATTATTTCAGTTTGGTTGGACCCATGTAACATTGTTAATTGTTGTTACACAGTCGCATCTCATCATGCAGAACATATTCGAAGGACTCATCTGGTATGTTACCCTTTTCCTAATTCATTTCACTTCTTAAAAGAGAGCTTCATCTACACCATTGGAATGAAAGATAATCACTGGATTTGTCCTTTCCCAATCAGATTCGTAAATAACAACTCCTCAAATTGTACTTCAAGATAAGCTTTAGAAACTAGAAATGTTCTATTTTGGTCAAAAAGTAGTTTAATTTTTCCTGATATTTATATTAAGGTAATAATAATTGTGAATTTAACTTGAGATTTAGACACCATTACTTTAAGTCTTTGCATCCATCGTCAAAGGACTTCAATTATTTTTCAAAAAGTATTTTGTATTTTCAGGTTCCTTGTTCCAGTTTCCATGATTATTTGCAATGATATTTGGGCGTACATCTTTGGCTTTTTCTTTGGCAAAACACCACTCATTAAACTCTCTCCGAAGAAAACATGGGAAGGATTTTTAGGAGGTGCTTTTGCAACAGTGATATTTGGCATTGTGGTAAGCTATATGAGGATACCACTCTTAAAGGCCTCATGTAAAGTTTAAGAATATGTTTTTATCATTCATTTACATGTTCTTGACTTCAATAGTAATTTTAGAGATGTTTGAAAAAATTGTTTTCAAAAAAAAGTTGTCAGCTTTTATTTCTCATATATTCAAATTTCCCGCCATTTTTCAAATAAACGTTGAAAAATTTTAATCATCAAATATTCTCCTATAGATTGCAAAACACATTATCTTTTTGCACAAAGGATACACTATTTCTCTCTACACCCCCAAAATGCAATCTGATTTTCGACACCGTTTTGGTGCCAATTTTCGCCAAATGGACTGACTAGTCCGGTGACTAGTCCGGTGGCAAATTTTGGTGTCGAAAGGTTTCAGTGCCGGAACGGTGTCGACACAACGTGCTGGAACAGCGCCAAATTTTTTCGATGCCAAAACGTCGCCGAATTATATTGCCTGTGTATAGCTATTCAGAACAGTACATTTATTTTCAGCTCTCCAACATTTTAATGAGATGGGACTTCTTTGTTTGTCCGATTGAATATTCTGATGAACTCGGCACTTTATCAATGGAGTGCATCAGATCACACGCTTTTACATCACAAGAATACAATTTAAAGTTTATGAAAGTGCAGATGTACCCATTCACACTTCACACCATTGCACTATCAACATTTGCATCTATAATAGGACCATTTGGAGGTTTTTTTGCAAGTGGTTTTAAAAGAGCGTTTAAAATAAAAGTAAGTATATCAGATGCTGGATGTTTTTATAAAGTTAAAACCATCAATAAAACTTTTTAGCTTTACGAACTGAAATACATAAATACATTGATCAATTGTAGTTTGACTATTTTTTTTTACATTTCAATGAACTACTATCTGTTTCATAAAAATCTGAAATTTATATGTAAAATAATTTGATGCAATATATTATCATTCTGAGAGATCAAAAACAATTTAGACATATAATAAAGGATAAAATATGTTTGCTTAAATTGCAAATATAAATATTATGCACCCATTTAAATGATTATTAAATGGATATGATTTTTAGGATTTTGGGGACCTGATTCCAGGTCACGGAGGAATGATGGATAGATTTGACTGTCAACTTCTCATGGGCTCATTTGTCCATGTTTATTTCTCTAGCTTTATAAGGTGGGCCCCAAACCTGAATGTCCTGTTTTGTCCATGTTTATTTCCATTTGCTTTATTAGGTGGCCCTGAACCTGAATGTTATGCTTCAATAACCAATATGGCTGCCTATCCCATAATAATTCATGCAGTCCTTGAAAAACTCCCTATAAGTGATCCTTCGTTTGAAGGATGGTTTTGGCAAAAGACAAAAGTGCAATTATTATCCCTGAAAATAATATACAGGTGGTCAAAGAAACTGGAAACCCTTACACCATTTTCCTAATATCTTTTTGAGAAATAACTTTACACATTTGTACATCACTCAATTTCCTATCTGCCTACCTAATGTCATGACCATCAGATTGATAGTCATAATGTTACAGCACTTTAAAGAACATTCTCGGTGGCTAGTATTGGGCTGTAGAGAAACCTGCATATGTCGTCCAAAATGTCCCTACCTATGGGGCTATTGTAGAGATAGAGTGTATAAGAATGACTTCAGGACAATTGCAGACCTCAATAGTGAGATCATCTCTATCATTCAGGCCATACCTGCTGAGGGATGTATTTTGGTCATTGACAACTGTGCAGGTTTGCCTTCGGTGTGATGATGGCTAAACCTGAAGCATGTTGTTCAAAGTGCTGTAAAATTGTGACTATCAGTCTGATGGTCATAAAATATGGTAGGGTGATAGAAAATCCAATGTTTTACAAATGTGTGAAATATCAGGGAGTAGTTTCTTGAAATGACAAAGATATGAGGAAAATGCAGGGTTTCCATTTTTTTGACCATCCTGTATAATAAGCTCTTATTCCCCATGCTTCTTTGATTAAAGATAAGAACCCACATAAATAAATTATCATGAATTATTATGGGTTGATTTTTTGCATGATTTTGTTTGTTTGGTTGTCAGATGCTGTCGCTGTCTTCTGTTGCTGTTTTTTTTTATTTTGCTAACAGAATGCCATTCTAGTCATGTTCTTAACACAAAAAGAGTGAAAATGTCAGGAATAAGCAAGGAATAACTTGACGAGGCATATGTATGTTGTAAAAAACAATTGCCAAAATATAAAGCACTCCATTTAAGTTTTGTGTTAAAGCATGACCAGAAATCTGTTTTATTCTTTTATAAGCATTATTATGTAAAGTGTGCACCATTTTAATGCTTTAATTTTTTTAATGTGCTGAATACTTATTGTTATCTTATTCCATCAAATTCCAAAAGTTTACAGTTTATGGTCTTACCCAATCAAAACTGTTACAAACATTCCCATAGAAACCAGTCAAGTTTTTAACAAGGGAATAATGTCTTAAGCATCCTGCCATTTCCTGGCTTATTGAGAATATTGACTTGTGCTTGCTTGATATGCATGTATAAAATCTAAGCTTCATCATGGTCCATTGTCTCTCTCTCACCAACAAATATTTTCTGTAATAAAAACCCCAGACATATTATTCATGTATTACAATTTTATGGACCTAGTGCAGATTTGGAAAATGTTCATGTCATACAAAGCAAAAGCCCCTTTGAAAAATCAGACTGACTTTGGTCTCCCTTTTGGCTTATTGTTTTTCTCTGTTACCTCCATACTGTATTCTGGCTCCCCAATTACATTTCTGAATTTGGATTTATGTTAACCTGCAACTATGCATGGTGTTTAACCCCCTCCTTTCCTGTCAACTTACATAATTATGCATTCTGATGCAGTACAACCATATAGATTTGCGTTCTTATGCAGTGACCATGTGGACTTGCATAATGATGCATAATGATCATATAGACTTGCATTGTGATCCAGTTTCACCATATAGGCTTTAATTCCGTCCACAATGTAACCATTCTATTCTTTCGCAGTGTTTGCATGTGCAACCATATAGACTTGCATTATGGTGCATGTGTGACCATATAGACTTGCATTATGGTGCATGTGTGACCATATAGACTCGCATGATGTTGCAATGTGATCATATATGCTTGCATGCTTAGTGTTGTGTGTTCTAGGATTTTGGTGACACCATACCAGGTCATGGTGGCCTAATGGATAGGTTTGACTGTCAATTCCTCATGGGTGCCTATGTACATGTATATTTTTACAGCTTTATAAGGTATTTAACAGAGTGTGATGTATCACTTTAAAAGCTTGATACAGTGTGATGTATCAGTTTAAAGCCTGATACAGAGTGTAATGTACCACTTTAAAGCTTGATGTCTTGATTCTAATATAAGTGAATGTGTTTTAGATAATATATAACAATAGATAATAATTGATAACATTTTGTTTTATGTAAGGCTTTTAAGTTCATGCTAATTTTATAGAATATTATAATGCCTTCAATAAAAGAACTTCAAAATCCAGATTAATCTTCATTTAGTGAAATCAAACATGAATATCTTTATGATAAACAAATATTTTACGTTTCTTTTGTGATCTTCACTTCCATTTTTAATTAAAGGTTTAATTAAGTTAAATAAATTAAATTTTTTAATTGATGTCTTATTCATGTTTCCATGATTTTTTCCAGGGTCGCAAATCCCACAAAACTTTTACAAAACGTGCTAGCCATGAAAGCTGAAGACCAGCTGGCATTTTATAATCTTTTAAAACAAACATTGACCTCTCAGGGCATTGTGCAAGAACCCCCAGTGGAGCCTCCAATGCAGTGAATCTAAATGGAGGATTCGGGTGAAGTCTAAAAGTAGGAATTCCTGTTCAGTAAAGACCTGGAAAGAAAGTAAATCAAGATTGGAATTATCATCCTCCAAAGTGTTGATTTTCTCTTCAACTGGCAAATAAAAATGAATACTTTCAGTGTGACACAACATTGAATTTGACTCTACATTGTATATGTCACTACACCTCACATGTCACTACATTGCATATTTTGTAAGTGTGGCACAGTGAACTAATCTTATGTCACAATACACTTCTCTGTTCAGTATAGTATATTTAAAGTTATAATCACCGATGATTGACCCCGTGGATGAGAAATTAATCAAAGAGGAATTTATAAAATTTATTAATATCAAAGTAAAATATAATACCCTTGGAGCAATTGGAGAATTCACATTAACATCAAGAAAATATAGTAATGGATGAATACTACAAGAAATGGAAAAATAAAAGCTACAGCATTATTTTCCTCAAACAAGTACTTTGATTTGCCAACCTCAGAGGAAAGCATGGAGGATGGATTCCATAGGGGAATGACCAACTTAACTCTATATGGTCTAGTTTAGTGTTGTTATTATGTGATATTAGAAAGTTTTAATGATCGATTTCCAATATTGATCCATGACAAATCTGACCAATACAATTTGAAACTAAGTTCAAATAATTGTAGATTTACTTTTAAGTTATTTGAATTTACCAGAAACTATAAATCACGGAAATGAAGAAATTTGATACTAATGATTCAATTTGAAACTTATATTTTGATATGCTCTGACATTCATTTGATAATACTCATGAGTAATAAAGGCCAGGGTTGTTGTATTGTAGAGACTTTTAGTGGTATAAATAACTTTTGAAGGAGTTACTATAATCATAAATGTGTCACAAATAAAAGAATTCAACTTTGCATGATGTAAGGATCATTCATTAAATTTCGACATATGGGGTTACCTCATTTTGCGGATAAAATTCCGACCATGGGGCTATTTAGACATTGCCTTATAATTTCAATTTTCGCCATTTGAAAATTTTGAAAATAAATGAAAATCTCCAATGGGTTAGATCTTAATCCAAGATGGCAGACTTTCGGAAATATGAATTTACAGCCGTGGCCCAAAAAAACCATAGTCAAAGAAGCCCTAAAACGAAGTAACCCCATACGCCTAAGTTTGATGGAGTGTTTATTATGCAATTAATGTTCAATTAATTATGTCTAGCTCGTGATATCCTTCAATATTTCTATTTTTCTTCAATATTTAAATTTTTGTATATGTGAGACACGGTCAATATTCTTAGCATTGTCCCAGACAATGATATTTAATATTGATTTCTTTGAAATTAAAGGTAAGAAATACATATCAGTCTGACAAAATAATCTTTACCTCTTCCCCTCAAACTAATTTGATTATGTCTACATGCGTATTCACCAATATATTGGCTATGTCTTTATATTCAGAGCAATGTGACATACACTTGGAACATTAATATGACCTTTGAGGGATAATATTTTTATCAATGAGTTGACATCATCTATCCTTGAGTGAGCATCTCTGTTTATGGTGCTTCTATTTATTGTTTAATTAAAGTGATCCAACCTAAAGTATTTGTCACAAATGCAAGTTAACGATCATCATGATTAAACAAGAAATTAAGGTGTCTGGAGGTAAGAACTTTAGGTTGAACCACTTTAATTTTACAGAACTACATGCACAATCTAAGTATAGGGTATCACCAGGCCCGTAGCTAGGGGGTTCGTAGAGTTCGGCGAACCCCCTCCCCCTGGCCAAAAATTCTTTCGAAATCATGCACTCTTTCACTATTTTGAGCACTTCTCAAGTGATTTTAGCCATATTTGGGCCTAAATTGTCAAATGTGAACCCCCCTGGAAATTTTGGAAACTCAGAACCCCACTTGGCAAATCCTGGCTATGGGCCTGGTATCACTCTATGATTTCTAGATCAACATAAGGGACGGTGGCCAATTATGGAAAATTGTGGAAAAATCTAAAGTTAATTCCATTATGGTTTAACTAGAAATGAATATGTTATTTGCTATTCACACACACTTATCAAAAGGCCAAAAAACAATATTTACTTTTATTTATGAAAATGTCATTTACTCTAGCCTTCCCTCTAATCCATTTAATTTTCCACATATTTTGAGTTTTGGGCACCATCCCTTACTCAGCTACAGGGTAAACTATTAAAGACATAGACCAGCTCTTTGTTGTACAATTCAGGTATAATATTAAAGATACATACCACCTCTTTGTTGTACAATTCTGGTACACTATTAAAGGTACAGACCACCTCTTTGTTGTACAATTCTGGTACACTATTAAAGGTACAGAACACCTCTTTGTTGTACAATTCTGGTAGCAACAACACAAATTCAAGTTCTGCAATAGGGTGTTTAACATATTCACATGTATCAGTATCTATTTGAGTTGATCTAGATCAAATCATATTTACTGTTAATTGTAATAATTATGAATCTTTGAAATCTTCATTTAATTTCTTACTCCACAATTTTTTGCTAATTGCTAAATTGAATAGAATGTTGATCATTTTAATTATGTCACATGACATAGGGTTGTACAAAATTAAAAACATATTAGTATTTTAATATTATGAAATGGTACAAATATATTTAATGTCTAGATTGAATTCATAGTACATGTAGTAAATATTTATGTATTATGTTAATAGTATTGAATAAGACATATTTTATTTGTACAGTAGATTATTTATTACTTTTTATAGGCTTGTATATTTAGTTTCATTCAAATTATGAGCCACAGTACTGTACTGATAGTATTTTATTAAAGTACTGTACTAATGGCACTTAATTATAGTACTTCACTAATGGTACTGTATTACTGTATTAAAGTACTGTACTGATGGTACTACATTAAAGTACTGTACTAATGACACTGTATTATAGTACTGTATTAAAGTACTGTACTAATGACACTGTATTAAAGTACTGTACTAATGACACTGTATTATAGTACTGTATTAATGGTACTGTATTAAAGTACAGTACTAATGGTGCTGTATTAAAGTACTGTACTAATGACACTGTATTATAGTACTGTATTAATGGTACTGTATTAAAGTACTGTACTAATGACACTGTATTATAGTACTGTATTAATGGTACTGTATTAAAGTACTGTACTAATGACACTGTATTATAGTACTGTACTAATGACACTGTATTATAGTACTGTATTAATGGTACTGTATTAAAGTACAGTACTAATGGTGCTGTATTAAAGTACTGTACTAATGGTACTGTATTAAAGTACTGTACTCTGTTATTGTACTGTTTTACTAAAATCAGGTTTATCATGATGAGATTCATCAACTTCTATTATGTCCTTTTATTCGTAATTCTAAAATCAATTCAAGAACAATGAGAAGTTTTCAAAACAGGATGCATCAAAGAAAATTCATGTCGTCTGGTCAAAGTTGACCTGCTACGGACTTGTTAAGTTGTTTTCAGAAAATGCTGAAATTATTTGCTGCTCCGTATCAGCCACAATCTGGTTAAACAGAGTTTTGATTGAACTCTCTCTGTTGCAACTTGATTTTGCCCTTGGATGTCAAAGTTGTAAACTACAACTACAAAATTCTTATTTTTAGAAGTATGTACTGTGGATTACAATATGTTCAAGAGAGTGTTCATAGGATATAGGATTCATTCATATAATTCATACCTCATTTTATCATATTTATTTGTGACAGTGTATATAAACAATACATATACTTGTTTACTATATGCATCTAACTGCCAGTACTACCCTTTTCCTTGCATTCGTTCGACCTCACTTCTGAGGGCAGGGTATGCAGCTGTTGGCTCTTTAACCTCTTGAATCCCAGGCTCTAAAATTGGTTGAAACCAGAGAATTTTCTAAATTTTGCCTCCTTTTGGCATTTTACTACAAACCTATACAACTTTAGATGCTCAACTTAGTAAAATTAGATGGCAGATATCATTTTTACACATTTTAAAACAATTTTTATGTAAATTGGATGAAAATTGTTCAAATAAGAGCAATTTTTGTGAAAAATTTTGTGACAGATTTTCTCGTCCTTCTGGGTTTCAAGGTCATTTCTGAGGTGACGAGAAATCTCGTCATTCTGGGTAGTCAAGAGGTTAAATGGAATCATTCAATTCAACATAAATGTGTTTATACTACTTATACTTCAGAATGAATTGGTTTGGGCAATTAGGTGTATTTACATCCTTAAAATATTTAAAAATTATATTCAAATATATGACATATTGTATTCTCTTGCCCTTACTTGTAGTAAAATAATTTAGCAGATTATTATAGTGAAATAGATTCTAAGTATGATTTTGGGAATGGATGGAGGGTGGGGAGCATTTATGTTTGCATCCAAATGATTTTTTCAGGAAGTTTCGCTTGTGAGCGTTATGTCACCAACTGTTAGTAACAACCTAACTGTTAGTAACAACCTAACTGTTAGTAACAACCTAAATCAAAGTACATAATAGAAATAGAAGTGAAGTTTGCTAGATATGTTTATTGTAAATTGCTTTAATTTGGTGTTTTTCTGATTTAGCGATTCACTATTTCTGTACAACAGTGCTTTAAGTTTCTATCATCCCAATTACCATGTTATTATATTGTATTTAAATGGATTTCCACTATACAACTACCATCTGCCAATATTCTTAAGGTAGTAAATTTGTCAAATATTAAGTCCATGTAGTGCCAAATTAAACCAATTTACAGAATATGTATTAGCCTAATCATGTCTGTATTATAATAGAAGGATTGGAATATCAAAATGTTATGATTGAAACCATCCTCCTATCAAAGGGCTTCAAAATCCAGAGTATATTCTTTCTTTTTACCCCCCAGTTAGCATTTACCCGATTAAGAACTTGCAATCTGATTGGCTGTCACAACACTGCAGCAGAAATCATGTATAAGTCATTGCGCATAATTAGATCACGTGATTCAGTTTAATCGGGCGCTTCCAAATTGTTTATAGCAGGGGGAAGAAGGAGGTACGGATTCTGGATACCTGCTTAGGAGGATGAATTGAAACTGACTCATGATTTACTTGTTGAAATATTAATTTGTGATATACAGAAAACTATGTGATGTATACTGTATAGATAGTAAAACTAAACCAGAAAAACATTAATGGTACCCAAGAAAAACCAGTAAATATAGTGTGTAAACACTTTGTGAATTAAAAAAAATGTCCAATAATTTATTTACATTTAGCCAATAGGAGTGTACTTGTTGATTTGGGTTCACAATTATTTATTCTGAGATATTTTTAGTCTTGCACCAAGTGCCTGAACAGGGCCGTAGGCAGGAGAGGTTACGAGGGTTCGTGAAAAGCCCTCTAAATGTGGCTGAAAAAATATGAACCTACCTCAGGAATCATGCAAACCCTCAAAAATGAATTAAATTTGACCAAAATTAAGGAAAGGCAAAATTTAAGCAAATTTAAGTAAATTTGGAAAAGTTTTCACCAAATTCACTGGTACATTGTAGCTGAAGGGAGGTGGTTGAAAGGGCTTGGTGTGAGACTATTATGGTCACTGGAGCGAGAGAAAATATGAAACTGGCATGGATGAGAAACATTCCTTTTCACAGCTAGCATAGGTGTTGGGTTTCACAGGTTTTAGTGTATAGTTGGTTGCTTGCTAAATATAGTAATGTACAGAGTGTCCCATAAGTTATGAAAATATTACAGTTCACATCAACTGTCCTGAGTATCTAATATGATTATAATACATTTTCCGTTAAAGGCAGTTCCATTTGGGCATCTTTACAATTTGTCATTGATGTTTGCTTGATAAATGTGGCTGTCATCCATATCTCATATATTTGGGACACCCTGTAGTCACCAGTCAGTATAGCATATTGACCCTTGACTTATATTCATTTTTCATTCATTAGAGCTACGCATGTTCATTTATTTTATGCAAATTGTAATGCAATTATCTTGAATGATAGACAAGACTATCAATATTGTTATTTTGTACAAATATTTTAATTGTATTATTACTATAGAATATAATTGTCAAATCAATGTAATAAATTATAAAGTTATATCTCATAAGTGATGCTTGTTTTATGTCACTACAAAGTCCTGACATTTTATAATAGCCACCATTGTTTTTTGTGACTGGTGTCAATGTTTAATGTTTGTAACAAGTGTTACACTTTTGCTAGTGCTGACATATTATAGCCATCATTGTTTTGACTGGTGTCAATGTTTAATGTTTGTAACAAGTGTTACACTCTTCCAAGTGCTGACATATTATAGCCACCATTGTTTTGACTGGTGTCAATGTTTAATGTTTGTAACAAGTGTTACACTTTTCCAAGTGCTGATACATTATTATTTCCACCATTGTTTTGACTGGCGTCAATGTTTAATGTTTGTAACAATTATACAATCATGACATAACTGATTTCCTACAATTTCCTTTGCATTTGGGCATTTATATGATTCACTAATTGTTATGTCATTCAAATATCAGTGAATATTTTTCTAGTCTAAATCGGATAAATCTTCATAGATGCCTCTTTAAAAGAAGCGTAGTTATTGCTATTCGGTGGCGCAAGTTGTGCTGGCCACGTAAACCACGAGACACATTGTCCCATTTTGGGACAAAGTGTTCCATTCGCATACAGTCCAAACAAGTTGCAACGGTGACAGTTATTGTACCACCCGGCACCCTTAAAACGAACCGCGCAGTTAGAAATAGAAACGTCATTGTCCCGGTCGTATGTTGAAAATTGCTGCCCGTTCTGAACTAGCATGGCGTTCCCTGCTGTCCCAGAATACCCAGTGATGTTGATTCGGTATTTGTCACTCTCGTCCGCCATGTCGAACGTGGAGTATTCCGCGAAGCCAGTGAGAGGAGTAGAGACGTTAGTTGGCCACGGTGTTAGGTCAAATCGGACTTTGTAACTCCTTCCCCTCAACATACTAGCAAGGTTATCCAGCCCAATGAAGTGTTCATTGTTGCGGCCACCAAAGCCTTGCTGGTATTCAACCCAAGTGCGGTAAAAATCTTCGCTTCCATCAACCCTCTTAAGTACATAAGACCATCCCTGTTCACAATACGCACTGAATATTCTCCTATCTGCGGCCATGAGCTGTTTGACACCAGTATATGTAGGGTCAACTCCACAATCTTCATCTAGAACTAATAGCAAGTACATATTAAAGAGAGAATCAGATCTAGCGAGCAGCCCAACAATTTTTTTTTTCAATTTTAATATATTTCTGGCTCATTTTCTTGAAATTACCAAAGTGCACACTTTATTTCAGGAAAACTAAAGATGTTTACAATAACGTATTATTTTTCTATAAGAATGGTTACCATTCTTATTATTTGGGAGAATTTAAACATTTTCACGCATTTTTGCACTTTGAATCTATGTAACTTTACCTATTTATAACATATTGTGAATCTTTTTGGAGACATTGTATTTGAGATTGTAAGGAATAGATTGGTAGGTAAATTGTACACATTGCTTGTAATTTTTTCACCCCCATAGATCTGATTCTGCCTTTAATTTAGAACATAACCTGGATTTGTGTTTCAAAATTGTATGAATAAAATGAAATATAATATAAATATGGAGGGCTCGGGTCTATACAGTCACATTTGCTCTATCACCGATATTTCATTAGCCACAACATACGCGGGGCCCCACTAGTATTTGGAAATAGATGCATAATTGTATTGTGACGAAATTACAGCAACTTCTCTGAAAGAATTTGAGTGTGAGAACCTTTTTCCTAATTCTGTCCTTTCGCTGAGATGTATATTAAAACCACGCCCAGTGATCGGAAAAAAATGAACGGAGGTGGAGGGGGAGTAAGCGATTTCTGCAAGAAAATTCAACAAATCCAGATGATTTATTTTTTCAAGAGAAAGTTTACTTTAAACTTGCAAATTGAATAGGCCCAAGGCATGGTAAAATATCAAATTATAATATTAAATAATAATTATGGTAAAAAAGTGTTCTAGGATTTTTCCCAACGTGCAAACGTGAATGAAAATTGTATTAAGTGTCGAGAGCATAACTAATTGTTGATTGTGACACAAATATGCATTCCTGATCTGGCTTATCAACCTGTCGAAATTAATTTTGAATATCTTCATCGGAAATATTATAAATTATTGGCGGATCTGGGGGTAGGGGTCACTCAGGAGGAGCCCGAAAAATTTCAGGGCCCTAAATCTCCTCATCCTCCTCACATAATTAGACAATCTAGGAAACAGATTAGAATTACTGCCCATTATCCTTTAATTTTGAGCATATTTATAGGAATTTAGGCCGACACTTTTGCCCCTCCTCCTTTTCATTTCCAGATCCACTCTTGATCCAAGAGAGTGGGTGTCAAAGTCAAACCTCGGCGGTTCAAAATCCAAAAGGAATCGACATTTTCGTTTGAAATCTTACCAGCATTTTCACATTCGTTCCCAGAGAACTCAGGCAAGCATTCACATGTGAAATTTGCAGGAAATGGTCCAGTTACCATGCACGTACCACCATTCTGGCAAGGACTATGGACACATGCATCTAAAATACATTCGCCAATTTATGTTTTATAAATAAATACACCCTGTAAAGATATATGCTAATAACACATTTAGGCAACACATGTTGAATAAATAAATACACCTAATGATCAGAAATACTAGTACATCGACAAAATGTAAATGTATGCGTTAGCAACACATTGGGCAACGCATGCTTAATGAATAAATACACCCAATGATCAACGATAGACTGACACAATGTCGGGGTATGCATTAACAGCACATTTGGGCAGCAAATGTTTAATATACAAATATACCTAAAAGATCAGCGATAAATTGACCCAATGTAAATGTATGCATTAACAAACACATTTGGGCAACGCATGTTTAATGAATAAATACACCCAATGATCAACGATAGACTGACACAATGTCGGGGTATGCATTAACAGCACATTTGGGCAGCAAATGTTTAATATACAAATATACCTAAAAGATCAGCGATAAATTGACCCAATGTAAATGTATGCATTAACAAACACATTTGGGCAACGCATGTTTAATGAATAAATACACCCAATGATCAACGATAGACTGACACAATGTCGGGGTATGCATTAAGAACACATTTGGGCAACACCATGTTAAATAAATAAATAAATACACTCCATGATTAACGATACATTGACACGACGTTGAGGCATGCGTCAATGACACATTTAGGCAACACATGATAAGCGATACATTGACACAATGTATAGGTATCATTTGGGCAACACATGTTTAATGAATCAATGATGAACGACACATTGAAACTACGTTGAGGCATGCGTCAATGACACATTTAGGCAACACATGATAAGCGATACATTGACACAATGTAAAGGTATCATTTGGGCAACACATGTTTAATGTAGCAATGATGAACGATACATTGACACTAAGTTGAGGTATGCGTCATTGACACATTTGGGCAACACATAATTAGCGATACACTGACACAATGTAAAGGTATCATTTGGGCAACGCATGTTTAATGTAGCAATGATGAACGACACATTGACACTACGTTGAGGCATGCGTCAATGACACATTTGGGCAACACATGATAAGCGATACATTGACACAATGTAAAGGTATCATTTGGGCAACACATGTTTAATGTATCAATGATGAACGACACATTGAAACTACGTTGAGGCATGCGTCAATGACACATTTGGGCAACACATGATAAGCGATACATTGACACAATGTATAGGTATCATTTGGGCAACACATGTTTAATGTAGCAATGATTAACGATACATTGACACGACGTTGAGGCATGCATTAATGACACATTTAGGCAACACATGATAAGCGATACATTGACACAATGTAAAGGTATTATTTGGGCAACACATGTTTAATGAATCAATGATGAACGACACATTGAAACTACGTTGAGGCATGCGTCAATGACACATTTGGGCAACACATGATAAGCGATACACTGACACAATGTAAAGGTATCATTTGGGCAACACATGTTTAATGTAGCAATGATTAACGATACATTGACACGACGTTGAGGCATGCGTCAATGACACATTTGGGCAACACATGATAAGCGATACATTGACACAATGTAAAGGTATCATTTGGGCAACACATGTTTAATGTAGCAATGATGAACGACACATTGAAACTACGTTGAGGCATGCGTCAATGACACATTTAGGCAACACATGATAAGCGATACATTGACACAATGTAAAGGTATCATTTGGGCAACACATGTTTAATGTAGCAATGATGAACGATACATTGACACGACGTTGAGGCATGCGTCAATGACATATTTGGGCAACACATGATAAGCGATACATTGACACAATGTAAAGGTATCATTTGGGCAACACATGTTTAATGTATCAATGATGAACGACACATTGACACAACGTTGAGGCATGCGTCAATGACACATTTGGGCAACACATGATAAGCGATACATTGACACAATGTATAGGTATCATTTGGGCAACACATGTTTAATGTATCAATGATGAACGACACATTGACACAACGTTGAGGTATGTGTTAATGACACATTTTGGCAACACATGATTAATATACAAATATATCCAAATGATCAGCAATACATTGAGCCAATGAAGTAGTATACATTAATAACACATTTGGGCAACACATGTTTAATATACATGTATAATTATACCCTAGTGATCAGCGATAGATTGTAAATAAACTAAACTCCCTCCATGCATTTGGCAAACGAAAGTCCCATTTTGGACCACTTATTAAAGCCTGTTTATGTTTGGTTACTTTAAAAAACCATCAGATTTGTCATTCCGAATGCTAGTAATAAGGTACTATGGAAGTTAACAGGAAATGACAAAACAAAAAAATGTCAAAACCATGCTGGATTTTGAAATTTTTTTGAACCAAGATAACAGAGTTCTGTTTGGACCTCCGGTCAGTTTAACTAGTTCCACATATCATTTACATGACTGGGAACACAATGGAAATGGTCAGAATGACCATAAACACGATGAAATAACCTTTTCAGCCCTCTGAAAATGTGACTGAAGAATAGCTAAAAGTAGGTGCCCAGGAAAGGTCAGTGAACAGAATCTTTTGATTTTTTCAGAAAATGTGTCCAATATATTGCTCTTAATGATACAATCTTTGAAATTTAAAAAAATCGTCTGAAACAATAATGGCTTGAGTTAAAAGGAAAATAGATAGATTTTAAGTTCAATTTTTTCATTTTTTTTCGTTTTCTAAGAATGATGTGAACTTTTTTAAAATTGTATCATTTAGAGGAATATAACTTCAAGAAAACTGAAAACTGAAAACTGCTGAAAAAGTAAGTTATTCTGGAAGTAAAGCGCTTGGAGCTATGAGGTCAAAGTACCTACAATTGAAAGGTTTACACTTTGATATTTACACAAAATTATATCACAGCACAGTCGCATCGGTAATGGATTATGCATCTGGAATCTGGGGTCTGCATAGAAAAACTCATAGTTTTACCAATAAAATACAATTTAATGCCATAAGGACCTTCTTGGGTGTCAGTAAAAAATGCCCTATCAGCTTTTTAGAAGGCGAGTGTGGATGGACCCCAAATTATATAAGACATTATATAGAAGGTATTAGATTATTGTATAGATTAGTTGTTAATTGTGAAGAGGCCAATATGGCAAAGAAAGCATTTAGATGGGATTTAAGCTTAGCCAAATTGAAATGTGATTTTACCTGGAACGAAGAAATCCAGAGCATATGGAAAAGTGTTGACATGCTGAATATGTATGATGATATAAAAAATGTAAAGATTTAAAAAAATTTGTGAATCAAATGAAAGGAAAATTAATGAAATTACATGAAACTCAATGGTTGGAGACAATTAGGGAAAAAAGAAAATTGACTTTTTATAAGAGCTTTAAATTATCTTTTCAAAGGTCTGAATATTTATTTTGTAATTTTTTGAGTAGAAAACAAAGATCTGTTTTAGCTAAATTTCGATCTGGCACTTTACCTTTAGAGATTGAAACGGGTAGGTGGCAGAATATACCAAGTCAAGAGAGATATTGTAGGCAATGTAAGAATGAAATAGGTGATGAGTTTCATTTTTTATTCAAGTGTAAAGTTAATCATAAATTAAGAGAGGAAATGTTTTGTAAAGTAAAAGGTATATATGATCTATTTGAGCCTTGTGATAATGAAAAGAAAACAATGTACTTATTGAATTCTAAATCACTCTGTAAATATGTTTCAAATTTTTTGCTTTTGTCTTTGGAGGCTAAAGATAGATTAAAGTAAGTGTTAATTCTGACTTATCTGCTTATAATATGATTGTAATTGTGTCTCATAAGCCTTTGGAGGCTGGCCGTTTAATTACGGGTGACACTGTAATAAATAAATAAATAAATAAATAAATATATTGGGCACATTTTCTGAAAAAGTCAAAAGATTCTGTTCGGTGACCTTTCCTGAGCACCTACTCTTAGCTATTTTTCAGTCACATTTTCAGAGGGCTGAAAGGTTATTTCATCATGTTTATGGTCATTCTGACCATTTCCATTGTGTTCCCAGTCATGTAAATGATATGTGGAACTAGTTAAACTGACTGGAGGTACAAACAGAACTCTGTTATCTTGGTTCAAAAATTTTCAAAATCCAGCATGGTTTTGACATTTTTTGTTTTGTCATTTCCTGTTAACTGCAATAGCACCTTAAGAAACAATTAATAAAATTACGATTAAAACATAAAGAGACTATGATATGGTATATCCAATGGGAAGTTTCAGTTGTCAAACTTATGGAGGGGAGTGTACAGATACAGTGGTATTATGATAATATTAATTTCACGTTTCTGAAAACATACAAAGATATGGGAATATCACAAGAATGTTACTGACACTGCGTTCCTTCAGGAAATATTGATATCATCCCAGGGATATTCCCTATATCATCCCGACAGGTAAATAACGACCTATATCATGGTAAAGTGCAATATCTACCTCAGATATCCTCTGGTGAAAAGAACGAAATGTAAAATCAGTTTCCCCTGGAAAAGTATAAACCCGAGACCGACTTGAGTTGATATGCATATGCATCCCGATCCCAAATACGTGGTTTAAGGATTTAAGCCCTGGACTCAGTGCATTGCTTGCTGAATCATACCAAGAAGGTGCTGTTTCCAAATCTTTGCATGGCCGCGCAGCGGGAATGCAAAGTTTAGGAAACAACGCCTGAGTGGAATGAAGCAGCTACATGCATTGAGTCTTGGGCTTAAATTCTTTTCAAACATTGCAAAATGTTTTCTCCAAAATCATCTAAAAGGAACAAAATCACTAAAAGAACACATTTTCAATGACATTTTTTGCAAGGGTCAAGTTGGCAAGTCATCAAATCAAATGTGAGAAGTCCATTCATCACCATGACAACTGTTTTACTGGTGACCTTGCATGTATTATTGATATTTCACGCATGGTTCACTATGTGAATATTCTGTTCTGATTGGCTGGAATCGGCCACGCCTTGTCTAGCTATGTGTGAATTATCCATAATATACCCGATATTGCTTTGACCATGGTATAAAACACTGAAGATGATCAATATTTTAGACTTACCACATAATGGGACGTGTGCCTCTGATATCTGGAAAACAGATGACGTATGCACCGTTTAAATCATTCGATGTTCGCAAAAATAAAAATAATAGGTTAACGATTTATTGTCGCACACACCAAGTTATTCCCAGGATTTAATTAACGTAATTGTGACAGGCATCAACAGTTTGAACGTTATTGTCCAGGCATCGACATTTTGATTATTGTGACAGGCATCGACATTTTGATTATTGTGACATGCATTGACATTTTGAACGTTATTGTGACAGGCATCGATGTTTCGATCTTCCAGGTTAAACAAAATCTATATCTCTATGGCAATCAATGTAACTTTTCCTTTCCATCCAGTAAAGCTTCTACTTGGACACGATCACTGATATGAAGAACTATAATTCTTTTGATTGATCTAAATTATGATCCCTTTACTGTTATGGCAATGTTCAGAATAGATCTCAATTAAATTCGAACATTTTTGCAGACCCGTCCTTTGAATTATTTTTTTGTAATTTTGAAAATCATGGAAATGTATTTTTATCATAAGTAGATACTGCTATTGTTTAATCTAAAAACGTTGTTGACCTTTTCATATGAAGTCTAATATTAAACAAATACTGGATGACCATGAGGTGGATATGCCAAAATACCTATCCTCGAAAAAAATACTAGGCTCGGCATCTCCTCGCCTAGTATTTTTTTCCTCGGATAGGTGGCTTCAATACTGGATAGAACGAGATCTTGCTGCCAATATGGCAATAGACCCTGCAGCTCTTAACCAATCAGATTTGAGTATTTTAATGAGGTACATAATAAAACAAATTATGCTTTCCAATTTCAGAATACCTCCTCATTTAAATATAATTTACATTATTTGATCAATCCCTCTTATGAAAGGAAAAAATAAAAATGAGATTGGATAATTTTGTTCTTACATGACTTTTATAACATTCTGCCTTTAAATAGTAAACGATATATTTGAAAAATCAAAAAGTACTTCTTGGTCATCTCATCTGAAAAATGATGTTTAAAGGTACAACAATTAGTGCAGGGGGCCATTGAACGATCATCGACCAGTGTCAAAATATATTGAAGTTTGGATATTTCATCAAGACTAAAATATTTTTATTATCTACAAAGAAACCCCCTGGATGAACATTATTTCAGCTGATATTCCTCTTGAAACGTGGTGAATCTTAAAAATCGATAAGTGGGACTCCCTTTATGGAATCTTTGAACTGAATTTACACTTCTTAATGCTGAAATTGAGAGTTTATCCATACATTTTAAGAAAATAGGTATGTCAAAGAAGATGTTAAGCCAAATATAGACCTGATAGCTCAGAAAAAAAAATCGAATTTTCTCTCTACAGTCCTTGTTGCCCCTTTAATTCCCGTAGCTTCCTATATTTTCAGACAAGAGTAGTAGCTGTACGATTTTGATGGCTAAAAAGTATGCCTTTTTTACCTTTTAAAAATCCCCCAAAGTGTTCCAAGCATCAAGTGGCTAAACTTGAAACTTCAAAATTAATGACTTGTATTTTAAAATAAAGCCCATGAAGCTTTTTACAAGTATAAATGGTGGAACTTTTCCAACTGTTTACGAAAACAGAATAGTTTCAGTTACAAAATGACAATGATTTTTTTTATTTTCCCATCATTTTATGAAATTTTGCGAACGAATTAGTTTCTCACGTTTTTACGCAACAATAGTGAGGAATTGTTTTAATCATAAGGCTGGTGTCCCCACGCCTAACCATCGACAAGGCACAGTGACAAAATATACCGAAGTACACTTTAGATATACGATGTCACTATTTTACCGATTTGAAGCAAAGACAATGATGTAGATTTGATGTATGTTTTAAAAAAATAATCTGAGGAATGCATTAAGGATTTCATGTTTGATTTTTTGTGTATTCGTTGAGGAAGACATTTAACTTTCTAATACGTAACGTTAAAAGATTTTCGAACAGGGCTCGATTTTTTCGTAGTCAATTTACCCATATAATTGGTCGGTTGGAAAATGTTGTGTTTTTACACATTTCCTTTGATCATTTCCTCCCCTGTTGTCTAAGAGTGTCGACGATTTTTATGAGAATATGTTTCTTTAAACAGCACAATTAAGGTATGTTAAAGCTTTAATAAGTATTAACATTTCGGCTATAATTTAAAAAATCATAAGTGTACGTTGTCAACTAGAATGTACGTTGTCCCATTGAACTTACTCAATTCACAGTTAACCCTAATGCAGACGACGTATTTTTCATAACAAGATGTATTTAAAATTGAAACAGAACAATTACAGAATTACTTCAATTTGATTGAACTATTGAAACTTTCCAGATATATCATAAACGGGATTTTAAAAAGTCATATTCAATAAGCTAGTATAGATCAGTAGATCTATCTATCAATGTAACTAACAAAACCACCCTTGGTATACGCAGCTAACGAAAATTGACCGGTACGGGTCAAAAGCTGGACCGGTACGGGTTAACGGTTTTATTTGAATTTAAAACAGCCATAACTTGCTTAATATTGACTTCCTCGTGTCTAATTTGAAATATATGATGCCTCCCGATGCTTTTAAGTATCCCATTTTTTACAGATTTTTAAACGGACCAAAATTCTCTAAGGTAAGGTACAGACGCTAAATAATCAAACAGGCTGGAAGCAGACTCCGTGGCAGTGCTAGTCTTCAAAATATTCTATTCTGAGACACTGGATGGGAGTTTGGGCTGGAAGCTAACACCAAATGGGCACAAATTAACCACCACCACAACAATACTTTCATAAAATGAAAAAGCAAAAAGGATACTTGAACATGTTCGTTAAAGATCACTACTCATAAAAACCTTAATGAATTTTTAAATGAAATCATTACATTGTTTAATATCACGTCTATCTCATGAATTTCGATTACAGGGACAACGTACATTCGAGTTGACAACGCACATTTCTGATTTTTTTAAATTACAATGAACAGTTGAATATTTATTAATCTCCATGCACCCGTCCTAAATTGTGTAGTATAGAGAAACATGTTCTCATAAAAAGGCAACAGGGGAAAAAATGATCAAAGGAAATGTGAAAAACACAACATTTTCCAACCGATCAATTTTCGTGGGTAGATTTACTACGAAAAAAATCGAGCATTGTTCGAAAATCTTTTAACGTTATTAGAAAGTTAAATGTCTTCCTAAACGAATACATACGAAATTAAACATGGAATCTTTCAAGTATTCCCAAGATTAATTTTTAAAAACCTACATCGCACCTGAATCATTGTCTTTGCTTCAAATTGGTTAAAAAGTGGCATCGTACATCTAAAGTGTACTTCGGTATATTTTGTCACTGTACCTTGTTGATGGTTAGGCGTGGTCCCACGAACTATTTTTTTGCAAACTCCTTCCGTTTTTCTGAAACATATGATGCTGACTACTGCCTGTAAATTCTGGTTTATAATACTACTACCTTTACCTCAATTATATCTTACCTGACCATAATATGTTAAAGCACTCTGAGAAACGAGTGCAGAGTTATTTGTTTCTGCGTTACAATACACCAAATCACATTGCGCCATCCCAGTTGTACCGTGCTCAAAGTTGAACGAAAAACAATCTTCATTCGCCACACATAACAGACTGCATTTTACTAGATTTTCCACAGTTACGGTCTCCAGGGTATATCCATTTAAGGACCGGCCTGTCACGCCCTTCTGTAACAGAGTACCAGACGTTGATGTCATCAATGTCCATGTTGGTTCAACTAAGACCAACACTTGTATAAGATACCAATGCATGATTAAGACCATTTCCATTGCCTCTGACTTTTACTCTTTCAATGCAGATTAATATCCTTTACATTGATCATTTCCGTATCAAATGACAAAAGCTTAGGAGACATCTTCCATTCTCCAATAATAGTTCTCATTTCTGATTGCCAGTTCATTAGAAATAGATTGAATACCGTTTACTTATATAGATTGGTTCTTGAAGTTTACATTGTTTTGAAGAATTAGGTCTACATAAAGTAGCTGACAGAGTCGGAGCAGTCTCTGGGTGACAGCAGATGCCAATATTGCAGATAATCAAACAGACCAATTGTCGCCCTGTTCATTTTGTATCAAATTGTATTTAATTTGGGAACACATTTTTTGTTTGTTGAAGGATTCAATTTGTCATTGGATTCTCGGTGCTCTGGCGGATCCACGCGAACCCTTTTGTTGGCCCAGAAAAAATGGGCCTTTTAGGCATACTTTGGGCTTTTTATAATAAAATGTTTTTTTCCCAATTTTTTTTACTCAAAATTTGCCTCCCCCTTGTTGGCTTCTTGATCCATCAGTGCGGTATGGGCAGGGCAGTGTTTATATTATGCCGAGTGAATAGTTAACAAACGCATTGATTCATTGATCGCGCAAGGAACACGTACCACCATGATTGACCTTTATAAGTATTTATGTTTCTAACCAACGAGGATTGGCTCCCAGAGTGCAACATCGATATTCAGTCCCGTATATGGGCATGCAGGTGGCAGCACAGAATCCTATATTTTTATGTAGCCTATGTAAGATATACGGGCTATAACCATTAATGTGCACAGGTTGCCCCTGTCATGTTTCTTGACTGGACAGCATACATTGAGAAAACATTTGGTACATTAAAATATAACGTTTACCAAAAATGACATCATATTATATGATTATTTATATTATTTTTATACCAAAAATGTAATAAGAAAGCTCCAGCTTCTCGAGGTCAAATATTGTATGTGGATACTCAAGCTACGAATGTTTCACAAGTAGTCTCGAACTTTGAGAAACTTTAGATAGCACAGTTTGTGCCTAATTTGATGACCTTGGCATTTATCAATAAAAATATTTCTTTTTTTCAGACCTCAGTAGTTTTTTGTAATTAAACTAGCTTTAATTTGAATTAATTAAAAATTAATGTACAGGGTGGTCAAAAAAAAGGAAACCCTGTCGCCATTTTCCTCATATCTTTGTCATTTTAAGAAATTACTCCCTGATATTTAGCACATTTGTACATCATTCAATTTCCTACCGGCCTTCCATATTTCATGACCATGAAATTGATAGTCACAATGTTACAGCACTTTAAACAACATGCTCCATTGGCCAAATTGCACTTTCGGCAAACCTGCACCTATCATCCAAAATGTCCCTACCTAACTTAAACCTGTGGTGATACCCCAAAAAAGAGTGTACGAGAATAACCCCAGGACAACTGCAGACCTCAAAATGCAGATCATCCATGTCATTAAGGCCATACCTGCTGAAAAATGTAGTCAGATCATTGACAACCTGTTCAGATTTGCCAATAGCGCGATGGTGGCCACACTGGGGCATCTTGTTCAAAGTGCTGTACCATTGTGACTATCAATCTGATGGTCATGAAATATTGTTAGCTGGTAGGAAATCGAATGTTGTACATGTGTGTCAAATTTCAGGGAATAATTACATAAAATGACGAAGATATGAGGAAAATGCAGGGTTTCCATTTTTTGACCACCCTGTAGTTAATAAAAAGCAAGATAAAAAGGCCATTTTACCTCTTTTAATCTTCAATATATCAAAATCCAGGCATTTGTTTGGACGGCAAAAGAAAAACACTAATAGAATACTATTAGTAATTCAATGTCAAGCTTTGAGAAACTTAAAAAATGTTGATAGGACCTAGATAGTGACCTTGATACAGATACAAATTTCCCGCCAAGTTCAGCCTAGTAGGAACATATCGTAGATGGTTGAAAGTTGGAAGTAGGAGAAAGGTGCTTTGAAGAATAAACTAGGCATAAAAATCACGGGGATTATGCCAAACTTGAGGCATACATTTGATCAAAATGGTGGACATGAACGTCTGTTTATGGAAATAAAGTTGACAATAAAACTTGGTTTTTGCAAGTTTTGGAAAACCCGTTTTGAAACGAAAAGGACATAATTTATATTATGGACGCTGGTTGACAAACATTATAATAAATTTGAACTTATGATATACCAACTTAAAGATGAGTAAATTCCTCATCCATTGGTATATAATATGACATGTTTTCATCAAGAAAATCAATATTTATTTTTGAAATACGAGTGTCCCATTTTCTTGGACCACCCTGTACATTGTTGTACTATGTTCCAATTTGGAACCAATCTTTGGAATTTTACCTTTTGACCTTTTTGACATTTTCAGGGTCACAAGGGTAAAATTCATAGTTTTAAGATTTTGTCCCACTGGATGTCCCATTTTTAGATTTGGGGCATCCGATTTAAAATCCCTGAATATATGTTAGAGTTATAAACTTTCATATGTAGAAACATCCCTGAAAATTTCAAATGAATCCCTGAAACGATTTGGCTGAAAACCTGTAGACAAGGCTGGACTGACAAGATTTTAGGTCAGAAAATACAAAATGGCTGCCTTAACATTTACCAAGAATGTCCAAAAATTAATCAGTTCTAAACATTTATACGTAAACATCCCAATTTCAGGTGAATCTCTGAAACGGTTTGGCTATAATTCTGTAGACAAGATTAATAGAAACGCCAGCCTTCCCGCCCGGCAAACTGGTCACAATATAGCAACCAAGGTTGCGATAAAAATATTGAATATTGTTCTAAATATTCGCATTCTCTATGCCACGCCTAGCCATCGACAACGTCCAGTGACAAGATATACCGTCGTACACTTTAGGTGTACGGTGTCACTATTAACTAATTTGAAGCGAAAACTATGATGTAGGTTTGATTGTGGTTTTCAAAAATTAATTTGAGGAGTGCATAAAGGATTCATGTTTGATTCCGTGTGTATTCGATTTGGAAGACATTTACCTTTCTAATTACGTTAAAAGATTTTCGAGCAGTGCTCGATTTTTTTCGTTGTGAATCTACCCGTGCAATTGGTCGGTTGGAAAAATGTGTTTTTAAAAATTTTCTTTGATCATTTTCTCCCCTGTCGTCTAAGAGTGCCGACTATTTTTATGAGAATATGTTTCACTAAACTACACAATTTAAACGGTTGAAGGTTTTATAAATATTCATGTATTTGGTATAATTTAAAAAATCAAAAATGTACGATTTATGAGTAACAAGTGATGTTCAACGAACATGTTCATGTATCCCTGGTACAGATAAACAGGTAAAGTGATTTTTTACCTCTTGTTGAATGCTATATATTTTATTTTATGAAAGTGTTGATATGGTGATTGATATTTGACCATGGGGTGTTATCTTCCAACCTCTTTGACCATGCGGCGTCGGTACGTTACGTTATGTTGCACTTTTATGAATTATGGATAGATCTATACTAGCTAATCGAAGATGACTTTCGAAATCCCGTTTATGCTATATCTGGAAAGTGCAGAGGTTCAATATAGTTCAATCAAGTTGAATTAGTAATACTGGATTGTTCCGTTTCAGTTTTAAATGAATCTGATCCCCCTGCCCCTTAATGTTATGAAAAATACATTGTCTACATAAGGGTTAACTGTGAATTCAGATATGTAAGTTCAATGGGATAACATACATCGAGATGACAACGGACACTTATAATTTTTTTTAAATTTGTTTTAGCAAAAACGTGAATATTTATTAAATCTTCAACCGACCTTAATTATGTAACTTTGGGAAACATATTCTCATAAAAATAATCGACACTCTTAGGCGACAGGGGAAAATGACCAAAGGAAATGTGAAAAAACCAACACTGCCCGAAAATCTTTTCACGGAATAAGAAAGGTAAATGTCTTTCAAATCGAATGCACGCGAAATTAAACATAAAATCCCTTAAGTATTCATCAGATTAATTTTTAAAACATACACCACACCCACATCATCGTTTTTGCTTCATATCAGTTAGAATAGCGACACCGTACATCTAAAGTGTACGACGGTATATTTTGTCACTGTACGTTGTCGATGGTTAGGCGTGTATGCATGTGCACGATAAACACGATTTGATTTCCCAATCTACGGATATCCAAGTATATTAAGGGGAAGTATAGGGCTGTCCTAGCCGTCCTTTCATACCTAAAATCGATCGAACCTTGATTGACCCCATTAATAAGTCTCTGATTTCCGACACTTGCGCGCTCTACCTGATTTCTTAATTGGGCATTTCAAAATGCTGTTTATTTCAATATACTAGTACTGAAACTCCTTAACATGAACGTGACATTACACTTTCAATGCCAAAGTATTTGGTCGCTACAATACACGACGATATAACTCCTTATAATATTTATTGTAATATTATGTTACCTTAAACTGTATAGAAAATTTCCTTGGCTTATCTGTAGAAATAATAGACCGTTATTTTACAGTATTGTTCATTGGGATAAGGTCGGCTGAGCCGAATAAGCCAAATGGCTAATTAACTCAGGCCCTTTACACGTGAACTTTCGTAGAGACGCCATGCAACAGTAGATGCAAAATGCAAATTAACAAATACCACAATACTGTTTCCAAATACAGTGTACAGAGTATCGGCTGCGATTAAAAAATATGGAAAGTTCAAAATGTATCGTACCATGGATGGTTCATCGCAAAATTTGACTAAAATTGAAACTTGTCATACTACATGTCAATTGAAAAAGGTTTTTGGAAGAACATCATTGACCAGTACAACGCGTCAATTGAAATGGAACTATAAATGAAAAATGGATGAATGATGAACGATGGTCAAAATCTAGAAACCCAAATATGTTTCCCGTTGACTATAATGTGTCTATAGATCTTCATTATATCAATATCATAATGTAAAAAGATACGTATAAATGGTGTGATAGGGCTTAACAATGTGGAAGACCAGAACGCAATGTTGGATACATTTCCCAAGCTTGATCTTGTTCATTCTTGCGTCGATAGTTTGCCTCGCAGAGCTTTCCACGGTTGATATTAACTTCAGATCGTTAGCCATGCCGGTGGATGCGGCGGAAGAAAGATACGTGATAAGGTTATCAAATGGATATGTCCATCCAAATAAGGTAAACGCAGTACTTGGAACGTTCCTCGATTTAAACTACCAGGATGCCAACGCGGTTAGGACGCATGGATTACGACTGAGTCAAATCATACAATCGTATCATTTGGATCACTATGGGAATTATCTATATAAGAACTGGACCACACTAGACTGGATCGTGAAATCTTGGAATTATTTAGCATATAGCGCACCTGTTATTTCAAACTGGAATTGGTGGGTTGCACAAATTGGCAACCCAAGATCTCTCTGGTCTGGTCTTTTTCTCTCTAGAGGAACGATCAGCGACAAATTATATGATGACTTAATTCAAAGGTACTGGACGAACGTCCAAGTCTGGGAATTTTCCAAGAAAGATGGTAAAATGTCAGCGTCAAATCTAGCAAATAGAGGATTTCAGGCTTTGTTCGAGACGTACTACCAAAGTGAAACTATATTTAGAAACAGAAGAAATGAGGTCATTCAGCTTTTAGGAGAAGAAATAGTTAACAAAACCTCATACCAAGGTAACACTTAATTTACACTTAAAGACTGAATCAGAGATATGGGACACTTGGTAAAAAAGCAAAAATAATATAGAATAAAATGTTTAATATACTGCTAAATAAGTTGCATTAAGAGAGAATCGTACGGAATATTTTTCCAGTATAGTAGGCAGTTATTTTTTGTATTATAGCGGAAAAAGATATAATACGTTTTTTAAGAATTATTTTTGATTTAATAATATTATTCGTGTATTATTTAAAGGTCCGGATGACAATATTGAAAGCAACAACCAATGTATTCTTTATCATGCATCTCACTTTATTCAGTGGCGGATCCAGAAATTAATGTTTTGGGCCCCTAAAACCCAAAATTTGGCACTTTAGAAATATAAATTCCCCCCCGGCTCCGCCATTGTTATTACCCTCCAAAATGTCGATGGTATTCTTCGAATGATGAAGTTATTTCAGCTTCAGACTGCAGAAATTGATAATGTGGTTTAAATTTAACCTCGGCAACCACTTCTTAAGTCTTAATCTCTCATAATGCATGGTATAATACTTTTGTAACATTGTTTTTGATTTGCAGGCGAGGGCATAGGAGCGGACTATTGCATTCATGCCCACAACATCCATGAAGGAATCTGGGAGGGCCAGTACACTAACTCACATCTACGGCTGATGATATACAATGGTGGATATGGGGCAGAATATCTTAAGAGATTTGCTCTGATTCACATCCTTCTACATCAAACTACCTATCAGGTATTCCATTAAGTTTTTGTGTCACACTTAGAAGAAGTGATGACATATTGTTATAGACTCTCCAAATATTTTGTGTACGGTGATCGGCGGTCGGCGTTCGGGACTCGGCGTTTGTAAAAAATTCTTTCAACTTCGAATAACATGTGGTGACATTTTATCATGTTGACATCTAATTTTTGTTTTTGTTATCTCATTACGACGCTGATTGTGAGGAGTGGTGACTAACGCCATGACCCTTTTATGTTTTGGAGACACTGGATTTACTCAATTTTGTACTGTTGTTTTGTAAATTGTAATTAGTACAGAAGCTAATCATTCAATATCGTTTTTTACATTTTTTGGCTGTTGAGTTTGTTTATTGTTGCCGAATGTCTGATGACTGGGTCCATTTGCTCCGATCCATCGGCAGGTGCCCGGCCGATTGAGTGTTTTGTTCAATATTGTATTCAATTTTGAACAAAATGCTCAATCGGCCGGGCGCCGAAGTGAAAATCGGAGCAAATGTGACCAAGGGATAAGAATCAGTAATACTTGACTCCTGAACCAAACTTGGTACAGATGTTTCCCAGATAAAAGGTCAAATGTCAAGATCATTGTTTTTGTCATTGTAATATTGTATATTTAATTTAACTTGGTCACTTGAATTGTTAAAATACTGCACACAACTCAAGGCTTGTATTCGTGATTGCAACTTTCCGGTGTCGGCCACCGAATTATAACCTATTATATTCTTTGGCCAACTCATTTAAATATGAATGGATTTGTGGCAGGTATTATTCATGTTTAAGAGGTTGCCCATAAAATAGTAAGTTAATCCGATAGACGCTAGCCGTTATTTGCATTTGCGAATACAAGCTAGTACTTACACGTTTAGGAGGTGAACTGATTTCTACAAAGTTAATTTAATTACCCCTGGGAAAAATGGCGTAATTTTCTTGACCCTCGTTTGTTCTCTATCTTTATATTAGGGCAATTATGTTCTTGTTGTTTCTTCTATCTTCTATCTTCACAACCACAGCCTGTTTTTTTTGTTTCAGGTGGATAACCTTGTGTTGTCAGAGTTCATTAATGCGTTCTTGGAATGTCATCAATATTTGTGCCGTGGACAGACTTTTGAGCCGAGTGTAGTGGGACGCAACATCGATGACAACCAGCGAGTGACTTACTGGGCCGCTTATGATGGCTTATACAAGGTAGGACGCCCATTTAGCGACTTAAACGAACCATTATCACTAGGGAGTTCTGGAAGGGTTTTTATTGAGTGTTCCACTGAAGGATTGGGAATAAGCCCAAATGCAACTAACGCATTTAAATATGAAAAGTGCATGTCACTATTCCATTCATAATTTAATGAGTTAAATGGTATCAAAATAGTAAGTTTATCCGGTACCCGACAGGCGTTAGTTGCATTTGCGAATACAAGCTAAGAAAGAAAATCATAACGATTGAATGATTTCCACGTGTATTTTTAGGTGGCAAAATTGCTGTTGATACTTGATTTCCGTAAAGCTGAACTGGAAAACGTGATTTCAAGGTATCTTAATTATGGACCAACTAACGGGTCAACCGCTCTTGTTGGTAACAGGGCTTTATTTGCCTCAGATATGATGGCACATCATAGGCAAGCCTACATGGCGAGTGTACGAATGTTTTCCTCTCGTACAGTTAGACCAGAAACTTGGGTGAGCGCCCGCAGAACACAAAATGCAAACGGGTAAGTCATACTGTACCTAGTCTAGCAACAAGGGCTGGGTCTACAGTCTTGATGCAAGACTCTCTACCATTATTTGCCAAGCGGCCTCGACTATTATTTCTCCTAAAAACCAATATTCATAGTTTATCCCTAATGTATAAAATTTCGGCTATGATAGGTGCATCAGTAATCAAAATAAACACACCCTGGTGCTCTTCATGTAGGTATTACACCTTGGTGCTCTTCATGTAGGTATTACACCTTGGTGCTCTTCATGTAGGTATTACACCTTTGTGCTCTTCATGTAGGTATTACACCTTTGTGCTCTTCATGTAGGTATTACACCTTTGTGCTCTTCATGTAAGTATTACACCTTTGTGCTCTTCATGTAGGTATTACACCTTTTTGTGCTCTTCATGTAGGTATTACACCTTTGTGCTCTTCATGTAGGTATTACACCTTTGTGCTCTTCATGTAGGTATTACACCTTTGTGCTCTTCATGTAGGTATTACACCTTGGTGCTCTTCATGTAGGTATTACACCTTTGTGCTCTTCATGTAGGTATTACACCTTTGTGCTCTTCATGTAGGTATTACACCTTTGTGCTCTTCATGTAAGTATTACACCTTTGTGCTCTTCATGTAGGTATTACACCTTTTTGTGCTCTTCATGTAGGTATTACACCTTTGTGCTCTTCATGTAGGTATTACACCTTTGTGCTCTTCATGTAAGTATTACACCTTTGTGCTCTTCATGTAGGTATTACACCTTTGTGCTCTTCATGTAGGTATTACCTTTGCTCTTCATGTAGGTATTACACTTTTGTGCTCTTCATGTAGGTATTACACCGGAGATGGATTCACTACATTTTTACAAGATGACCACGAGTTTGGATCCAGATACAACGAAGTTTTCCAACATTATGACTGGGAAAAAATTCCAGGTATTTAACAAAAGATTTTTACCCACCCTCTGTATCAAAAGTCTTCCTATTAAGAAAAACCTCAAATAACTTTTGTAAATGGCAAGTAAACTTAATGAAACTTTTCACACATAATTTAAGGCATATAATACACATTCTGTGTAAATGTAGAGACAGTTGATTAATTTTTAATCAAAATATCACATTTAGAACATTACATATACCTAGAACACCGATGTGACTTTTTCCAAGTTTGTGACGTCAAACTTACCCCGGATCGCCAAACTGACCAAAATCACTTTAAAACAGGTTGCTCTGTAAAAGTACGCAGACAAAAGTCGTTAATGCTAATTATGAGCAAAATATGTTATTTAATATACTATGGATGTCCCCATACATTTCATAAACAGCCCTATTTATTTGAGGAATTCAGATATATGTCATCACGCATCGCGATAGCCGCGCCCCCTTTGTCTTTTTCCTTCCAAAGTTCTCTCGCAAACGGCAGATAAGAGGGGCTCTGGCATACCAGAATGGTCATCACGAAGCACTGCTATCATTAATGTATCAATGTTCGATGCATTATGATTCAAAATTATTGCAATAAAATGAAAATATGATAGATTCATTTGAATTAAATACAAAAATTACATCAAGAATATTGAGAAGATAAACCCATGAGAAATCAAATTGACACATTTGTCACAAAAGTTTACTAATTGATTTCATTGGGCAGGAAAGTGGTAAGAATTAAGGGAATACTGCATAACAATGAACATTTAGGCAGCATTGTTTTAAGACACAAGTGTAAGGACTTTTGCATTGTTATTATACAGCTTTCTCATATGACTAACAGAGATACAGCCATCTTTACCCCATTCAAGATATTGCCATCTTTCATCCTAAAAAGTCACGTGCAAGATGAGATTTACTTGTGACATCACTGGTCTATAAACACAAACAACAACATGGCGATGGACACACCGTTGCCATGAGTATCCATGCTAATTCTACAAAACAAACTGTGCCCCCCCCCTTGGGTGGGCCAAGAAAAAAAATTGGGCCCATTTTGATAATGTTTCTTTATCTCGACTTCGACTCGATATCAAAGCTCATCAAGAATGGAGGATCTTGCACAGGTACTCATATAAGAACCTCTATTTCAGTGACATCTTTATTTTATGAAATATACAACTGTCATGAACAGGATCATATTTTACAGAGTCTATAACATATTCTGATTGCTCATAATTAGCATTTTATATACAAATACCTTTGTCAGCCAGACTTTGGTCAGTTTGGCAATCGTGAGTAAGTTTGTCGTCACAAACTTGGAAAAAGTCACATCGGTGTTTTTGGTATATGCTATGTTCTGTATGTAATATTTTGTGTAAAACTTAATCAATCGTCTTAAAATTTTCGGATAATGTGTATTATATCATATGCCTTAAAGTATGTGTGAACTTACTGGTCATTTACTATAAGATTATTTGAGGTTTTCCTTAATAGGAAAAGACTTTTGATACAAAAGGTAGTGATATTCATTAATTATTTATTTGTGATATGCAGTATATGTGTAAATTTGGTGTGCAATATTTACTGTTTGATTGGATGACGATTGTGCTTTTATTATTGCTAGGTACAACGGTTATATATAGAGGGCAGGTCCCTCATGAAGGAATGGAGAGAGTAGGAGACACTCCAAACTTTCCCCATCATATAAGTGATGCAAACTTTGTTGGTAGTGCCTCTGATGGTATGTACGGTGTTGCAGCTATGATTTATGCTCGTCCAACGGTCAATATAACAATGAAAAAATCTTGGTTTTTCTTTGATAATGAAATCGTCTGCCTTGGGAGCGATATATTCTTACGCAGCAGTAGTGATACGTTACCAATAATTACTACTCTGAATCAACTAGTCCAAGATGGTAACATCGCCTACAAGCATTCAACAGAATCATCGCTCTATGCAAACTGGAACACTACTACAAATATACAAAATGCCAAATGGATTCACCACGACAATATGGGATATGTGTTTCCAAATGAAGCAGATGCAAGTATCGATTCACACGAAAGGACAGCAAATGGTAAACGTTTGAATGTAACTGCAATGTGGATTAAACACGGGCTTGGACCGTATGCATATATAGTTTACCCAAATGTTACCATCGAACAATTAGATAAACACGCCAGTGGTCCGTCTGCACAGACCCTACAACAAGACTCAGATGGCCACGTGGTGTACCAAAAGACTGTTGATATAATCTCAATGGTTGTATTCAACGCTCCATTTTCAATAAAACACCCAAAATATTTTTATCAAATCTCAATCAACAATTCTTGTATTTTGATGATCCAGCACGGTCAAGTGAATGACAGCTTGACAATAACCACATCCCTCCCAACTCAGTCAACAGCGACAATCGAGATTGTATTTTCAGGTATTAACATAACCGGAGTCGACTCAGTTGCAAATACATTAACAAATACCCACTCTGTATTTTTCCATTTCTCAGACGATAAAAGTGTTGCTGGGAAAAGTCAAACCAAGGCTTATGAAGTTGTTCAAGTTGTTCCGATCATTTTACCCGACAATAGATACACAATTATTTATATCATTGTTCCGATTGCAGTAATATGTATAGTGGCAATTGTCGCAGTAGTTATTGTAAAGAAGAAACATAGCAGTAGCTATACAGTAAATAAGTAAACAATGATAAAGGTTATATGTAAGTAATATGCCAATGTAGCCAAATAAATTCTAATGAGTAATCATACTATCCTACATTGTAGCTTGTATTTCTTAAAAAGGGTTACAGGGAACAATGAAGTTGCGAATGGACCGGTGTAAAAGGGTAGGAGGTCCTCTCAAATTATGGTCCTACTCTCCATTGATTTATATGGTGATCTAAATACAACCCTTTCCCTTATTATCTTATACACAATCAGGGCCAATAAGGGCCGTTTAGAAAGGGGACCATAATCCCCAGAAGACCATAATTTCTTTCACACCGGGTATTCTCTATATTTGTGTTGAAATTTGCAGAAATTATAAGCCCTAACGAAACATCACTGAAAATGGGTAAAATGTGAACTTCAATATCTGCGATTCTTCAACCCTTCAACAATCTTCCCATGGAAAGCCGGGGTCTGGGAAATCTAATGTTGTACAGTATGGGAGTAGGGTAGTGTGATACTATGTACATGTAACACTACACAAGTAATATATATGCCAATATAACTACGATAAATTGTAATGAGTAATATGTTCACACAACATAAGTAATCTATATGCCAATGTAACTACAATAAATTGTAATGAGTAATATGTTCACGCAACATAATTAATCGATATGCCAATGTAACTACAATAAATTGTAATGAGTATTATGTTCTGGCAACATAAGTATTCTATATGCCAATGTAACTACAATAAATTGTAATGAGTAATATGTTCACACAACATAAGTAATCTATATGCCAATGTAACTACAATAAATTGTAATGAGTAATATGTTCAGGCAAAATAAGTATTCTATATGCCAAAGTAAATACAATAAATTACAATGAGTTATATAATGCAACATAAGTATTCTATATGCCAATGTAACTACAATAAATTACAATGAGTTATATAATGCAACATAAGTATTATATATGCCTATGTAACTACAATAAAATATAATGAGTTATATAATGCAACATAAGTATTCTATATGCCTATGTAACTACAATAAACTATAATGAGTTATATAATGGAACAAAAGTATTCTATATGCCAATGTAACTACAATAAACTATAATGAGTTATATAATGCAACATAAGTATTCTATATGCCAATGTAACTGCAATAAATTATAATGAGTTATAAAATGCAACATAAGTATTCTATATGCCTATGTAACTACAATAAACTATAATGAGTTATATAATGCAACATAAGTATTCTATATGCCAATGTAACTACAATAAATTATAATGAGTTATAAAATGCAACATAAGTATTCTATATGCCTATGTAACTACAATAAACTATAATGAGTTATATAATGCAACATAAGTATTCTATATGCCAATGTAACTACAATAAATTATAATGAGTTATAAAATGCAACATAAGTATTATATATGCCAATGTAACTACAATAAATTATAATGATTTATAAAATGCAACATAAGTATTCTATATGCCAATGTAACTACAATAAATTATAATGAGTCATATACTGTAACATAAGTATTCTATATGCCAATGTAACTACAATAAATTATAATGAGTTATACAATGCAACATAAGTGTTCTATATGCCGATGTAACCACAATAAATTGTAATGAGTAATATAATATATTTAATTGTAATTCCAAATACATTTATGATATGAACGAGACATTTAATTTCACAGTTAAAAATTTATGAATTCAAAAATGTCAAAGTTGCCCCTGTTCATGGAAAAACTAATTTATCAACTTTCCCATGAACAGACATCCACAATGTTATTGTAACTTTACAATGTATTCCTGATAATCTACCTTTTCTGACATTTGCAAACAAACCCTGGGACACGTTCTGTCTTTTCTGACGCATTTCTTCAAATAGATGTCACCTTAATGCACATATTGAAAACCTCAGTACATCCTAAGCAGGTATGTACCTCCTTCGGGTAAAAAGAAAGAATATATTCTGGATTTTGAAGCCCTGTGATCGGAGGATGACCTCGGTATATTTCATAGTTTCATTACGTATACTAGTAGTATGAGAGTAGGCTTCAGACCATCTCGTAGATGTGTTTCCCTCAAGGAAATGAATACAATTGGCAATATTTTTCTTTATCTAATCAAATATAATATACACTCACATTTGATTGGGTATAATCTGCAAAACAATTTGTTCATCTAAGTAGCAAAATGGCCCACCCTCCCCCGCTTTTTGTGGGCCCCGAAAATATTTTAGGTTCCCAAAAAGTTTGTATAGCCTTAAAAATTGGCCTTTTTAGCATAATAAGGCCTTTAATGTTCAAAATTTGGGCCCCATTTTTGTTAGCCTTTGGATCCGCCAGTGTAATCTGAGGTGGTTCAAAGAATTGTAAAATACCCTTATCTTCATTCTTCACAATAAATATTGTCACTATGTTTGCATTAAATGGCCTGTCATTTTCAAAAGAGTACTTGTTGTATTGATCAATCCTTTTAGTGAGAAGTTTGAGTAATTCTCCTTTTAGTGTTGACTTCATCTATGTAAAGATTGATAAAGGGCTTCATGATCAAAGATCCAATCTCCATAATAGCAGGTTTGAATTCAATTTCTCGGGCTTGATAAATGACAGAGCATGGCAAGAGAAATAATGTCATAGTTTTTTGTGAAAAATAACTTACTTAGATTTGATTGAGTGTAGGATCGCGAGCTTGTTTACTCATTCATATCAGTAATAGTTTTACGTTTCATTACCACTTCTTGTAACTTTAGATTGAATAATATTTCACCTGTAGGTCAGTCATTTTTTCTGCCATAAAGTTGGCAGATCTGTAACATATTAACCGGTCAACAATCTCAGTTGTCGAAAGTGAATTAACGATTTTACTTATCAGGGTGTCAAGTAAGTCTTACCCCCATGCTTCAGCTAAAACCTTAATAGATGGTATCTAGTGAGATATACCATTGGAAAGGTCAATTTACGATTCTACTACATTAGACGTAATATAAGGCTAAGAGTCATAAGGCTAAAGACCAATGGAAAGTATACAGAGATAAAAACATAAGAAGGTGACCGGTCATTTCGAAGCAAATCCCCAAGAACCCGAACAAGGATGAGTAAGTATTGATGATAGTTTGGTCATATTAACCAGCTCGACGAAAAAGGATGATTGTGTGTGTGTGTGTGTAAGGGGGGGGGGGGGGGGTCACCACTCTGGACACTTTTCAAGTGATTTTAGCGATTTCTTTGGGCCAAGGTTATCAAATGTGAACCCCTCCTGGAATTTAAAAACAATGAAAGTCAAAAGAGAGCTTCTGCACGAAGGGTAAAAACCAGTGAAACTAACTATCCAAGCAAAGGCGTTTACAATTAATCGTGCAACATCGAAAATGTCAGTGAATTGATGGCGCCATATGATCTTTATAATTAATGAATTTTAGTTTTGATATTGTCAATACATGCTTCATTTATCTATCACCTTTTTGTTTTTACATATTGAGGAATCCATCTAAATATCGCATTATCGACAAATGCCTTCACAGTGAATTCTGATGTAAACGATTTTATCTTTCATGGTCCAATGATTTTATCACTGATTTAAATTACCCAAGGGACAAATGTTCGTTACAACATGTGTCCAACTTATAATACATCGAATTCAATATTAACGGAGGTCGATTGGGATTGGATGAATATTGTACATCCCCGACGTTGTCCCTGACATTTGTAAATATAGAAAAGTACCATTGCCATAGACAAAAATTGAGAGTGCGCATAGAGGCGTCCCTGACATTGTCCCTGACATTTGTAAATATAGAAAAGTACCCTTGCCATAGACAAAAATTGAGAGTACGCATGGATGCGTCCCTGACATTATCCCTGACATTTGTAAATATAGAAAAGTACCCTTGCCATAGACAAAAATTGAGAGTACGCATGGATGCGTCCCTGACATTATCCCTGACATTTGTAAATATAGAAAAGTACCCTTGCCATAGACAAAAATTGAGAGTACGCATGGATGCGTCCCTGACATTGTCCCTGACATTTGCAAATATAGAAAAGTACCCTTGCAATAGAGAAAAATTGAGAGTACGCATGGATGCGTCCCTGACATTGTCCCTGACATTTGCATATATAGAAAAGTACCCTTGCCATAGACAAAAATTGAGAGTACGCATGGATGCGTCCCTGACATTATCCCTGACATTTGTAAATATAGAAAAGTACCCTTGCAATAGAGAAAAATTGAGAGTACGCATGGATGCGTCCCTGACATTGTCCCTGACATTTGTAAATATAGAAAAGTACCCTTGCAATAGAGAAAAATTGAGAGTACGCATGGATGCGTCCCTGACATTGTCCCTGACATTTGTAAATATAGAAAAGTACCCTTGCCATAGACAAAAATTGAGAGTACGCATGGATGCGTCCCTGACATTATCCCTGACATTTGCAAATATAGAAAAGTACCCTTGCAATAGAGAAAAATTGAGAGTACGCATGGATGCGTCCCTGACATTGTCCCTGACATTTGTAAATATAGAAAAGTACCCTTGCCATAGACAAAAATTGAGAGTACGCATGGATGCGTCCCTAACATTGTCCCTGACATTTGTAAATATAGAAAAGTACCCTTGCAATAGAGAAAAATTGAGAGTACGCATGGATGCGTCCCTAACATTGTCCCTGACATTTGTAAATATAGAAAAGTACCCTTGCCATAAAGAAAAATTGAGAGTACGACTGGATGCGTCCCTAACATTGTCCCTGACATTTGTAAATATAGAAAAGTACCCTTGCAATAGAGAAAAATTGAGAGTACTCATATTCTGATCCTTAAAAAGTCTACAATTACAATTACAACTAAAATGAATATACCCATTGTTTTCTAAAAAAAGCTAAACACATTTTTACTTGATACCCTTTAAATAAAGCGTCCTCAATGACACTCACTAAAATATATTTCAAAATAAAACTTTCTTCTAAAAGCAAATGTTTTCTCAATGTTACACCTGAAATAAATGGTACTCATTACGCCTAAGTAATGAAAGAATTGAACAGACGTTAAACAAATCTCCCAAATTGTAAGATAGATGTCAGAAAATAACATATTTCATTCAACATTGACAGAAGAAGTAATTAGCTCCC